GGACTAAACCAGGTTCTAAATCTAAACCAGGTCTAAACCAGGTCTAAAACCAGGACTAAACCAGGACTAAACCAGGTCTAAACCAGGTCTAAACCAGGTCTAAAACCAGGACTAAACCAGGACTAAACCAGGACTAAACCAGGTCTAAACCAGGACTAAACCAGGTCTAAACCAGGTCTAAACCAGGTCTAAACCAGGACTAAACCAGGTCTAAACCAGGTCTAAATCAAGTCTAAACCAGGACTAAACCAGGTCTAAACCAGGACTAAACCAGGTCTAAACCAGGACTAAACCAGGACTAAACCAGACTAAACCAGAACTAAACCAGGACTAAACCAGGTCTAAACCAGGTCTAAACCAGGACTAAACCAGGTCTAAACCAGGACTAAACCAGGTAAACCAGGACTAAACCAGGACTAAACCAGGGACTAAACCAGGACTAAACCAGGTCTAAACCAGGACTAAACCAGGTCTAAACCAGGTCTAAACCAGGACTAAACCAGGTCTAAACCAGGTCTAAACCAGGTCTAAATCAAGTCTAAAACCAGGAGGTCTAAACCAGGTCTAAACCAGGTCTAAACCAGGAAACCAGGTCTAAACCAGGTCTAAACCAGGTCTAAACCAGGACTAAACCAGGTTTAAACCAGGACTAAACCAGGTTTAAACCAGGACTAAACCAGGACTAAACCAGGACTAAACCAGGACTAAACCAGAACTAAACCAGGACTAAACCAGAACTAAACCAGGACTAAACCAGAACTAAACCAGAACTAAACCAGGACTAAACCAGGACTAAACCAGGACTGAACCAGGACACAGAAACATCCGGAGACTCTGAGGAAGAGGAGCAGGAGCAGAACAAACTGTCAGGAGGAAAACAAACTCTTGTTGTAGACCAGAGGTGTTCACACTTTTACATCATGTGAGCGACTTATAAAATGACCAAGTCAAAATGATCGACCTAATACAAAGTCAAACAAACTGCACTGAAACACTCTGTGGCCCTTTTTTGGACCCTCCCCCACAGTTTGAGAACCTCTTCTTTAAGAGAACTTCCTCTGGCACTTTACACAAAACTGTGAAAAAACTGAAGGAAGATTTTTAAACCTGTTTTTTTAAAGTTCCAAACTGGAGTTTCATTCTTTTGTGGTTTTGCAGTGATATTTACCAGCCTCTGCACGTTTACCAAACCAAACGCACATCGTGACAAACACAGATGCATTTGTCACTTTTGTTACACAAACTTCAGCCAAATGTGGCAGTAGGTCTGTTCTGTAGATCCGCTCTATGCTGTAGACCTGCTTTGTGCCAACACTGGAACACAAATTTAGACTGGTTTTTGCTTCACGTTTGGTCTTGTTCTTCTAATCAGCCGCACTGTGGGAGGGGCTTGTGTTGGCTGTACGCAGGAAGGAGCGAGAGCGTGAAAAGGCGAGGGGCGGCGTGCTGACGTGAGGCAGGTGGACAGGTAGGATGTTTAGGAAGTTGAACCTGCCCTGTGATGCACGCTGGTACACGAGGGCACACGCTGTCGCAGACGAGCCGTGCATAGGGAGCGTGTGTGTTTGTGATGCGCCGTAGAGTCTCCGCGGGTTTCAAATGAGCGCACAGGCTGCACTGAGACGCCCCACACGCTCCTGCACCCGCTACAAGTACTACTACTACTACTACTACTACACTTCTACCACCGAGTACTACAACAGGTACCACACGCTCCTGCACCCGCTACAAGTTTATTACCAACAGCAGCGGCCGCAATGAAACATGATCACACTTGTTGAGTGTCAGACCTCGAGTGAGAGACAAGACCGAGTCCAAACACGAGTCCAAACACGAGTCCGACACGAGACACGGAGATCTACCCACACGACCTTGGCCATCGACTGGTAGATCACGATCGACGTATTGAGCACCTCTGATCTAAAAAATGAACCTGATGACATCAAATATCTGAGACCAAATGAACCTGACTGGACAATCACTGGTAGATTTTGATTTATTAAATCTTGTAGTGAATGTCCCTGGGCTCACGTGGAGGCACCAGCAGATGTTTGGGTCATTGATGTTCCAGAGTTTAGGAGTTCTAAGAGTTTAGGAGTTCTAAGAGTTTAGTTCTAAGAGTTTTGGAGTTCTAAGAGTTTAGTTCTAAGAGTTTAGTTCTAGTTTAGAGTTCTAGAGAGTTCTAAGAGTTTAGTTTAGAGAGTTCTAAGAGTTCTAAGAGTTTAGTTCTAAGAGTTTAGTTCTAAGAGTTTAGGAGTTCTAAGAGTTTAGAAGTTCTAAGAGTTTAGTTCTAAGAGTTTAGTTCTAAGAGTTTAGGAGTTCTAAGAGTTTAGGAGTTCTAAGAGTTTAGAGTTCTAAGAGTTTAGAAGTTCTAAGAGTTTAGAGTTCTAAGAGTTTAGTTCTAAGAGTTTAGGAGTTCTAAGAGTTTAGGAGTTCTAGAAGTTCTAAGAGTTTAGTTCTAAGAGTTTAGTTCTAAGAGTTTAAGAGTTCTAAGAGTTTAGGAGTTCTAAGAGTTTAGAAGTTCTAAGAGTTTAGTTCTAAGAGTTTAGTTCTAAGAGTTTAGGAGTTCTAAGAGTTTAGTTCTAAGAGTTTAGTTCTAAGAGTTTAGTTCTAAGAGTTTAGGAGTTCTAAGAGTTTAGGAGTTCTAAGAGTTTAGGAGTTCTAAGAGTTTAGTTCTAAGAGTTTAGTTCTAAGAGTTTAGGAGTTCTAAGAGTTTAGTTCTAAGAGTTTAGTTCTAAGAGTTTAGGAGTTCTAAGAGTTTAGTTCTAAGAGTTTAGGAGTTCTAAGAGTTTAGTTCTAAGAGAGTTCTAAGAGTTTAGTTCTAAGAGTTTAGAGTTCTAAGAGTTTAGGAGTTCTAAGAGTTTAGGAGTTCTAAGAGTTTAGTTCTAAGAGTTTAGGAGTTCTAAGAGTTTAGAGAGTTCTAAGAGTTTAGTTCTAAGAGTTTAGTTCTAAAGAGTTTAGTTCTAAGAGTTTAGTTTCTAAGAGTTTAGGAGTTCTAAGAGTTCTAAGGAGTTCTAAGAGTTTAGGAGTTCTAAGAGTTTAGAAGTTCTAAGAGTTTAGTTCTAAGAGTTTAGTTCTAAGAGTTTAGTTCTAAGAGTTTAGTTCTAAGAGTTTAGTTCTAAGAGTTTAGGAGTTCTAAGAGTTTAGGAGTTCTAAGAGTTTAGAAGTTCTAAGAGTTTAGAAGTTCTAAGAGTTTAGTTCTAAGAGTTTAAGAGTTCTAAGAGTTTAGGAGTTCTAAGAGTTTAGGAGTTCTAAGAGTTTAGTTCTAAGAGTTTAGGAGTTCTAAGAGTTCTAAGAGTTTAGAGTTCTAAGAGTTTAGGAGTTCTAAGAGTTTAGTTCTAAGAGTTTAGAAGTTCTAAGAGTTTAGGAGTTCTAAGAGTTTAGGAGTTCTAAGAGTTTAGTTCTAAGAGTTTAGTTCTAAGTTAAAGCTGCAGGATTCTCGTGGTCTTTGTGAGTGTTTCACTCTGACTAGAAGTACATTTGGAGGCACCACTCAACAAATGTTGAGAAATATCACCAATACAGTTTCGTGACCTTCTGCAAACTCATGAAATCTGCAATACTCAGAAACAGAATCGTTTAAGTGCACATATTTATATATTGATTACAATATGATTGAATAACAAAAGTGAAGATTACATTACCATTACATACACAGTGAGATTAATATAAATGTTGAATCCATCACTGTGACTCGCACAGAAGTCCAACAACACAGCAGAACAACGGTTCAGATCAGGGAAGCCGTTCCTCCCAATCACCCGTCTCCAGGTGTCACCCGTCTCCAGGTGTCTCCCGTCTCCAGGTGTCACCCGTCTCCAGGTGTCACCCGTCTCCAGGTGTCACCCGTCTCCAGGTGTCACCCGTCTCCAGGTGTCACCCGTCTCCAGGTGTCACCCGTCTCCAGGTGTCTCCCGTCTCCAGGGTCCCGTCTCCACCCGTCTCCAGTGTCACCCGTCTCCAGGTGTCACCCGTCTCCAGGTGTCTCCCGTCTCCAGGTGTCACCCGTCTCCAGTGTCACCCGTTCCAGGTGTCACCCGTCTCCAGGTGTCACCCGTCTCCAGGTGTCTCCCGTCTCCAGGTGTCACCCGTCTCCAGGTGTCACCCGTCTCCAGGTGTCACCCGTCTCCAGGTGTCACCCGTCTCCAGGTGTCTCCCGTCTCCAGGTGTCACCCGTCTCCAGGTGTCACCCGTCTCCAGGTGTCACCCGTCTCCAGGTGTCACCCGTCTCCAGTGTCACCCGTCTCCAGGTGTCACCCGTCTCCAGGTGTCACCCGTCTCCAGGTGTCTCCCGTCTCCAGGTGTCTCCCGTCTCCAGGTGTCACCCGTCTCCAGGTGTCACCCGTCTCCAGGTGTCACCCGTCTCCAGGTGTCACCCGTCTCCAGGTGTCTCCCGTCTCCAGGTGTCTCCCGTCTCCAGGTGTCTCCCGTCTCCAGGTGTCACCCGTCTCCAGGTGTCACCCGTCTCCAGGTGTCACCCGTCTCCAGGTGTCTCTGTCGTCGCCCATGTGGACACTGAAGTCCCCCAGTAGAACAATAGAATTCATTACATCCATTTTATTATATAATATATAATATTATATATTAAAATATTAATGACACGAAAGCTCAAAGTTTAGTAAAAGTAATAAACTAAAATAAAAAAATAAAAAGTAAAAATTAACTAAAAACAACTAATTAAAACAGATAATATCTGTTTATACAATAAAACAAAAATCAACATTTTTATTTTGGCTTTGACATGTTTCATAATTGTGTTAATCTGAGAGAGAGAGAGAGAGAATGAGAGAGAGAGAGAGAAGAGAGAGAATGGAGAGAAGAGAGAGAATGGAGAGAAGAGAGAGAATGAGAGAGAGAGAGAGAGAGAATGAGAGAGAAGAGAGAGAATGAGAGAGAGAGAGAGAGAGAATGAGAGAGAAGAGAGAGAATGAGAGAGAGAAGAGAGAGAATGAGAGAGAGAGAGAGAATGAGAGAGAGAGAGAGAGAGAGAGAGAGAGAGAAGAGAGAGAATGGAGAGAAGAGAGAGAATGGAGAGAAGAGAGAGAATGGAGAGAAGAGAGAGAATGGAGAGAAGAGAGAGAATGGAGAGAAGAGAGAGAATGAGAGAGAGAGAGAATGGAGAGAAGAGAGAGAATGGAGAGAAGAGAGAGAATGGAGAGAAGAGAGAGAATGGAGAGAAGACGACCTGGAGGAAAGTGCACAGACACAGCGACACAGGGAGAACGTGCAGACGGTGGTGAGAATGTTCTGCGTGTGGATCTGTGTTTGTCTCCAGGACTTTGGTCTGTGCTTCGCTCTGACTCGCTTCAGTGTTTGTGTTTGTTTTGGATTCTGCAGCTCAGACTCTGACCTCCAGATCGTTCACCTGAGCAGAGGCACAGCGCTCTATCGCCCCCTGCTGGACGACACGGGAACATGTGGCACAATTATAATTACCGAACCGAGTCGAAATGTAACAGGGGCGCAACTGGAGCCGCTGCTTTACACCGAAAACCACATTTAAAAACATAAAACCACGTGTATTATTGGTGAAACTCACTAATCGCTCATTCTGTTTTGAAATTTTGACGTGAAAATGCCACTGTTTTTGTTTTTAAGCCTTTTAAAGTCAAGAAATTCAAATCAAAATAGTCATAATAGTTATTTTATTCGCTGATTATTTGTCACAATTCTTCAGATAAACTCACGATCGAATACGCAAATTTAACTGAACTGAACAAGTGATGAAGAAAAGTCGATTTGAAAAGGGAAAGCGCATGTTTTTTTTTTTATATAACATTTAACAAAATACAATAATCAACATTTAACAAAAATACAATAATAAACATAAAATTAAGGCCGCGCGCGGCGATGGTGGCCCTCGCCCCGGACACGCAACGCCCCCCCTGGCGAATGCCGGGGACTCGCGACCGCCCCGACACACCGCTGTCTCTTCCCGACAGCTCCCGAGGCCAACAGCTCGTCCACCAGAAAAATGACATAGTGTACCTTTAAAATAGGATAAAGTGAATGATTCTAGAGACAAACTGTAGACACTAAGCCACAGGTCACGTGACTTTAATGGTCAAGAGCACTGTCACACTAAGACTAAGTGCATGAAAACACATCCTCCACCAGAAAAGTTACATAGTGCGGCTTTAAATTTCTCAGAAGTGAAATTATTCTAGAGGCCAAAGTGTAAAACTAGGGCATAGGTCTTACTGACTTTTATGATGAGGAGTACGTCAGTGAATGTTCTGGCAAAGTTTTACAAATGAATGTAAAACTAATTTTATGTCACACAATAATAAATTGTGTGCATTCATATAGGTGGCGCTGTATCCCTGATAACTGTATTTGACATATCAATGGAATAAGGGTCATGCAGTGTATAACTGATAGAAATGTCATCACAATCACAAAAAGGTAGGGGGCGCTATACTGTTCACTTTTCATATGTTTTATAATTTATTATATTCAGACCAATATCCCGCATAAGTGATTCAAATTTCAGCACAATCAAACTAAGCGTGTCTCTGTAATAATTTTAAAAATATTTTTCAGTGGAGTCTTTGCGCCCCTGCTGGCCAATGGTGGAAAATGCATCATGTCCGTTATGAACTTTTTTGCTTTGCGAATTTGGTACTAATCCGATAATGTTGATGTTTCACGTCTATGCTAGGGGGCGCTATAGAGTTCACTTTTATTAAATTTCATATTTCATTACATTCAGACTTGGATCACACAATTGTGATTTGAATTTGAGTTCTGTAGGACAATGCCTGTGGCCGACAGGTCACCGAAAAAACAGGAAATGAAGGCGTTATTCGCCGGCGTGCTACGGCAGGAGTATCTCAAAAAAAGTTGAAAATTTCTGTGAGTTCATGTCTCTAGATGTGACATGTCAAATCTGAGGTTATTTGGACTAAACCCCGGGGACCTGAATCTTTTTGTAGACCCCCAAGTCAAAACGGCGCCGAATGTTTGATCCAATATGGCCGACTTCCTGTTCGTCATAGGGTCATGCTCCAATTCATCTTTTGTCGTGTTTCATTGTTCTCTATCACTGTCCCGAATTTCGTTTCCCTGCGACAAACTTTGCCTGTCCCTAGTCCCATAGGGGTCCAATTCTAGGCGGCGCTGTTGAGTCGGGTCACTCGGGTCATTGTTGCGATGCCCATTTTATCGAATTTTTCGCCGGGACAATCGATCTGGACCCCGGTTTGGGGACTTTTCGTCCATGTTCAGGGGTTCAATGCGATTCAATGTGGGGAAAAATAAAAAAAAAAAAAAAAAATAAAAGAAACCGACGAAGAACAATACCCCTCACCGCTAACTTTGCTAGTCACGAGGGCCACAAATAATCCAACACCCACAACACAATCAAAACAACAACTGGCCTGAAGAAAATGCGGCGCAGTGTTCGGCAGAAGGAGCTGAGTCTGCTCCTTCTCTGTGGCGTCTCCAGGTGTCTCCGGATGGTGTCCATCGTGGTCTGTAAAAACTCATCCTCGTTGATGAAGGCCTTCAATTTAACTAATTTCTTTGTGGAGCCTGTGCACAGGTCTTTGTACACGGCCTCCGCCACTTCCACGATGTTCTCTCTGTCAGGTCTCACCCTCACGTTCCATTCACACATGTTTGACTTCAGCAGCACAACCAGTTTGATGAACATGGAGCGCATTTCAAACATGTTTTTGGTCTGAAGGACGCGCTTGTTCACCTCATAAGCCAAGCACAAGATATGTTTTGCCTCCCACTTATAACCCGCATTTGAGACTCTTATTGTTGCGGGTCATTTCCGCTTCACCCCGATCTCCCCACTTTAAGTTGCGGGGTCACAGTATCACTTCCTCCTCCTCCGCTCCGCTGTGGCTGTGGCGTGGTCTGGGCGTCGGCAAACTATTGCAATAAACTTTTAAACCAGGAATCCTTTAACATCCACAATTGGGTGAGTGTTTTGCCTTACCATTAAAATGCTGCCGATTCAATAACCCCGTTTAATAATGCCGCTAATCCCACGTCTCCAATCCTCATAGAGCCGCCATATAGGTTATACTCACCTGGCCGTGTATGGAGAGGAAATCGAAACGGGAAATTCGAAGGTACCCGTTTTTCCTTATGCATTATTATGAAAACCGAACCGAAGGTAACAAATTTATTAATATAGTCGCTAACTTTGTTTTTCGTGCCTTTGATTAATTTGTGCAGTTTTAGCTTGTTTTTCCCTGTTCATTAAAACTCCGGTGGAGTTCATCAATTGAATTTGTGCGTAGCCACGCACTTTATTTTGAACATATTGCGCAATATTTGAGTCTATCGGCCTCTGCTTGGGCATTGTTTTGATAACTGTTGATTTAAGTGCACTTAATTTTGATCACTCAGTGAAATTACTTTAACTTAATTTTGATCACTCAGTGAAATTACTTTAACTTAATTTTGATCACTTAGTGAATTTAATTTATTAACTTTATTATGATCACTTATTGAATTTATTTTACTTATAATATAATAACTAACTTAATTGGGATAAACTTATTTGAATTCACTTTACAATTTCCTTGATTTATTAACCAGCTTAATTAATCATTTAATCTAATTTAATTTAATAATTTAATGATAAGCTTAATTACTTATTGAATATTGTAATTAATTGTTAATCCTTTTGAATTGTTGGGTCATTGGTAAATGACTACATTTAATTTATTGTGTTATTAATGTGTATTCTGAATTAATTAATTAATACTATGAATGTATTGATTCATTTATGCTTGCATGGTTATGCATACATTTAATTTATTTTTGGTTATTTAAGACTTGTTAATGTTTTATTTAAATGATATTCATTTGTGTTTTCTGGCCTTTATAGGTCAGGTTTTTTTCAATGGACTGATTCAACTCCAGCTCTGCAGAAACACTCAACTCAACAAGGAAATGCATGATGGCGAGTTTACCCAACCTGAACTTAGATTAGCCTAAATCAAAACACTAAATAACTGGACTGTTTTCGTTTTTTTATTTATTTTTTTGTTATTGTTGTTCTGTCAATTTATTTTCAATATACTCCACCCAACTTCATATCCATGTGTTACGTGTCTTCATTCACACTCAGGCTCCTCAAAGGACATTTCTTCTGATGCTGCTTTTGTGGCCGTAGTCTGCCCCTAGCCCTAAAACATTTTGCGTTACACACTCACTCTGAGAATGTCCAGGAGAACGTTGGGGACTTGTGACAGTTGGGGTGTTCTGGTGCTGGTGCAGGGACAGAGAGCCAGGCCACTTTGTGGATCTTATGAAGGGACCTTCTGACTGGATCTGTGTTTGAGGGCTGATGATCCAGCGTGTCGAGCCACTCGATCAGGCTGGTCATGAAGTCGAAGACTGTACTTCGGGCTTTCTGAGAAAATCTCCAGATTCCAAAATAGCTTTTGGGGCTCATGTGGTTGATCAGAACCTGAGCGAGGTCTCGGCTCACGTCTTTGTGATGCCTGTTGGAGATGTCCTGGGACAGTCTCTTATAGAAACTGCCCTCCTGGATGTCTGGAGACAGCTGGACCAGCTTCTTCAGAGGAGCAGAGGCGTCCTCCATAATCGTGTCCAGGTCAACAATGACTTGGCGCTCTCTGGCGAGTTTGATGACGTGTTGTCTGAAGTAGGTCTTAGCATGACACAGGGTGAGGAAAGACTGGACCCAGTGTAAAACTCCATAAAAAGATTTTTTGCTAAAGCAATCGGCAGGACTGGAGCCCTGGGAGCTGCCGTGGTGAGAGGAACCCATCTCATCACACTTGATGGTGATAATAGATTCCGCAGCCTCGTCACTGTAGGAGCTCACACTGTCCAACAGCTCCTGCTCCTCCTCTCTGCTGAGGCACGCAGATTTAGTGACCCTCAATGCTGCCTCCTCCAGGATCTTTTTCACCTGTTCAACTGCAGACCTGGTGCTGGAGGTGGGTGAGGTCTGTCCTGGGTCCTGATCTGGAACAGTCGAGGCCTTCTCCTCTGGTTCCACAGCACGATGTGGGTAACAGCAGAGGAGCCTGTTCAGAGTGATCTTTGAAGCTGTCTGCACACTCTCAAAAGTCCCAGTCTCAGTCTTAGTCTGACTCTGGTAACAAGGTGCACAGCTCTGAACCAGTTTCTCTTGAAGCCGCTGGACCCTCTCCTGCTCCTCCTGATCCAGAGAGGCTGAAGAGGCAGATGTGGGCTCCGGCAAAGATGTAGCACCACAGATCTGAGTCCTCTGTTCGGCTGGTGCTGAGTCTTCATCCTGTTCATCTACGGATGTCTGGGTTTCATGTGGGAGTAAGGGGTCGAGTGTTCTCCCACTGGGTGCAGTGCCAGGTCTCACGTTAAGCTGCAGGGGAGACCGAGTCCATGATGCACAGCGCTGCTGGTTTTCAGAGGTTGGTGTCACTCCCAACCCATTCCGTCTCAGTTCTCTTGCAACCTTGAAACGCTTGATTCTCTCGTCCATGTCCACAGGTTTTGGAGAGGCCTTCATCTCCTTCAGAGATGTAGTGCCCTCTTCAGCTGTGTCAGGAACAGGAGAAGGTAAAGTGTCCTGAGGTGTTGAGCGAACACGTGAGTTTAGTGTGTCCTGAGAAGTTGAGTGACCATTAGACGTTTCCTCTTCAGGGGAGAGTGTCTGATCACGCGGCCGACAGCAGCACATAAAGAATTTTCTGGCTGTGTTGGCGATCTCGTTGAGCCTGTGATTCGGCGTGGTGTAAAGTGGTACACTCTTGTTTACCACTGGTTTGTCCCCCTCGAAACTGGTGCGGGACATGGCCGAGTTGCCATGGTAACAAGACTGTATGGAACTTTAGAGGCTTTAAAGCCACGTTTCCCTGTTGATCACAGAACCAAGTTTCATGTTGTTAGGACAAAAAAATGCCAAAGATCTGGTAAAATGAGTGATATATTTTAAATATAAACAACTTTTTGAATTCACTTTTTGTGCAGCACTGGAATCTGTGTGTCGTTTTTCAATAAAAAACCAAAGAAGACAGAAAAACAACTATTTTCTTCATTATTTGTCTCCAAAACCAAAATAAAAAAACAGATAATGATTTGTTTTTTCAGTTTTTGATTTTGTGTTTAAATGAAAAATGGAAAAAAAACAAACGGATAAAGGCTGTTTCCCCTTTACGTGACTTCAGTGACTCTGATGCTGGACTGAACCAGGACTAAACCAGGTCTAAACCAGGACTAAACCAGGTCTAAACTAGGACTAAACCCAGGACTAAAACCAGGTCTAAACCAGGACTAAAACCAGGTCTAAACTAGGACTAAACCCAGGACTAAAACCAGGTCTAAACCAGGACTAAACCAGGACTAAAACCAGGTCTAAACCAGGACTAAACCAGGACTAAAACCAGGTCTAAACTAGGACTAAACCCAGGGCTAAAACCAGGTCTAAACCAGGACTAAACCAGGACTAAAACCAGGACTAAACCAGGTCTAAACCAGGACTAAACCAGGACTAAAACCAGGTCTAAACTAGGACTAAACCCAGGACTAAAACCAGGTCTAAACCAGGACTAAACCAGGACTAAAACCAGGTCTAAACCAGGACTAAAACCAGGTCTAAACTAGGACTAAACCCAGGACTAAAACCAGGTCTAAACCAAGACTAAAACCAGGTCTAAACTAGGACTAAACCCAGGACTAAAACCAGGTCTAAACCAGGACTAAACCAGGACTAAAACCAGGACTAAACCAGGTCTAAACCAGGACTAAACCAGGACTAAAACCAGGTTTAAACTAGGACTAAACCCAGGACTAAAACCAGGTCTAAACCAGGACTAAAACCAGGACTAAACCAGGTCTAAACCAGGACTAAACCAGGACTAAAACCAGGTCTAAACTAGGACTAAACCCAGGACTAAAACCAGGTCTAAACCAGGACTAAAACCAGGACTAAACCAGGTCTAAACCAGGACTAAACCAGGACTAAAACCAGGTCTAAACTAGGACTAAACCCAGGGCTAAAACCAGGTCTAAACCAGGACTAAAACCAGGTCTAAACCAGGACTAAAACCAGGACTAAAACCAGGTCTAAACCAGGACTAAAACCAGGTCTAAACTAGGACTAAACCCAGGACTAAAACCAGGTCTAAACCAAGACTAAAACCAGGTCTAAACTAGGACTAAACCCAGGACTAAAACCAGGTCTAAACCAGGACTAAACCAGGACTAAAACCAGGACTAAACCAGGTCTAAACCAGGACTAAACCAGGACTAAACCAGGTCTAAACCAGGACTAAACTAGGACTAAAACCAGGTCTAAACTAGGACTAAACCCAGGGCTAAAACCAGGTCTAAACCAGGACTAAACCAGGACTAAAACCAGGACTAAACCAGGTCTAAACCAGGACTAAACCAGGACTAAAACCAGGTCTAAACTAGGACTAAACCCAGGACTAAAACCAGGTCTAAACCAGGACTAAACCCAGGACTAAAACCAGGTCTAAACCAGGTCTAAACCAGGACTAAAACCAGGACTAAAACCAGGTCTAAACTAGGACTAAACCCAGGACTAAAACCAGGTCTAAACCAGGACTAAACCAGGACTAAAACCAGGACTAAACCAGGTCTAAACCAGGACTAAAACCAGGACTAAACCAGGTCTAAAACCAGGACTAAACCAGGACTAAACCAGGTCTAAACCAGGACTAAACCAGGACTAAAACCAGGACTAAACCAGGACTAAACCAGGTCTAAACCAGGTCTAAACCAGGACTAAACCAGGACTAAAACCAGGACTAAACCAGGTCTAAACTAGGACTAAACAATATGACACCTAAAAAAACACGACAATATCAAGTAATCCAAAGTAATCAGATTACATTACTCACTTTAAGTAATTTAATGGATTACGTTACAAACTACATTTTAGGATATGTAATCTGTAATCTGTAGGGGATTACTTTAAAAGTAAACTTCTGTGAACTGTAAATGGATCAATTCAAACCCGGCAGCAGTTCCTCCTTTATTCACTTACTTCATATTTTAAAGTTCCCTTATTTCCCTTCTTATTTTTCCTTTTCTTTAATTTGATTTAAGTAATAACACAAATGATCATTATTGTTGTGACTACTGTTGTCATTATTGCTGTTGGTAATATTATTATTGTTATAATTACTATTATTATTTATGAATTTAATGTATATTATTATTATTTGTTATTAATCTGTTTTCCCCCTTCATTTATTTATTATGTAAGTATATGTATGTATATATTTTATTTTATTTTATCTTTTTTTTTTTTCTTTTGCTAATTTATATACAGTGTTGTGGAGTAACAGATTACATGTACCGGAGTTACGTAATCAGAGTACAAATGATGAGTTACTGTATTCAGTTACAGTTACTGTTTCAGTGAGTAGTAATTGGATTACAGTTACTTTGTTGAAATAAATGGATTACACAGAGGGATTTTCCTGTCTTCACATTTTGGGTTATATCCCTTTTTTTTTTTTTCTTTTTTTTCCCTGGTAATTCCACTCATTGCCAGACACTAAATCAGGTCTAAAACCAGGTCTAATCCAGGTCTAAACCAGGACTAAAACCAGGACTAAAACCAGAACTAAACCAGGTCTAAACCAGATCTAAACCAGGTCTAAAACCAGAACTAAACCAGGTCTAAAACCAGAACTAAACCAGGTCTAAACCAGAACTAAACCAGGTCTAAAACCAGATCTAAACCAGGTCTAAACCAGGTCTAAACCAGGACTAAAACCAGGACTAAAACCAGAACTAAACCAGGTCTAAACCAGATCTAAACCAGGTCTAAAACCAGAACTAAACCAGGTCTAAACCAGATCTAAACCAGATCTAAACCAGGTCTAAAACCAGGTCTAAACTAGGTCTAAACTAGAACTAAACCAGGACAAAACCAGAACTAAAACCAGGTCTAAACTATGTCTCAAACAGGATTTAACAGGACTGAACCAGGCCTTGTGGACCGTGTCTCCTCGTTTTCTATCAATAATATTTTTAATTTGGTTCAGTAAAGTCTGGGTGTTTCATTTTCTTTTATCAGACAAAACTTCTTATGTGAAGATTTCCTCGTCTTTGTTTCTCTACAGCAAATCAAGTAATCCAAAGTAATCAGATTACATTACTCACTTTAAGTAATTTCTTCCGTTACAAACTACATTTTGGGGTACGTAATCTGTAATCTGTAATCTGTAATATGTAGGGGATTACATTTTAAAAGTAAACTTCCCAACACTGTTTATATAACTAATATGACTTCTAGACATCGATATAATATCTTGTATGTATGTTTAAACATTTATAAAAGTCAGTAAAAACAATTGAATAATATTAGGGCCGGGCACGTTAACGCGTTAACTTTGCGTTAACTAATTAAGTCATTAACGCCGACAATTATTTTAACGCCGTTAACGCAGTTTTTAATTATTTATTTATTTATTTTATTGTAAACGTCTGTTTCTCACTGGCTTTTATTTTGAAAAAGTCCACCGCGAGAGTTTCTTTAAGTTTGACATCTTTTCTTTACACTTTTTTCACTTTTTTCTGACCACGTGAGATGCAACGTGCCTGAGCCTCCGCGAGGTTCAGTCCCGGGCTCTGGCTCTGAGCTGAGCTTGTTTCTTTAGTTCAGTGCTGCAGGGGGAGTCACTGATTTACCCAGATACCACTGGAAGAAAAACTGTGATTGGTCCATTTCCATTCCATTATATTAACCCTTTGTTTCCTAAGAAATATCAGTCCAAGTTTATAACACTGATCTAGAAATTATTACTAGTGTCGTGTTCATTACTCACAGCATAAAAAATATTCAATAAATATATTAGTAGTACAAACGTCATGCAATATTTTTTCTTCCCTGAATACCTTGAAGACTCTGAGGTTCCCCTGTGAAAGAAATGCTGTTTGCAATGTGTGGCTCTTTCATTTACATTTCCAATAAAAGTCGCTATACTCTACTTTTTAATTCATTAACTGGTTTTGCGTATAACATGCGATTAATCGCGATTAATTTTTTAAAATGTTTGCCCAGCTCTCAATAATAATAATAATAATAATAATAATAATAATAACCTCAAACTTTACTTTGAAGTTTAAATCGTCTTTCGGCTCTTTTATTGTGAAAGCGCCGCTCCACCGGAAGCGCCGCTGTGTTGCCGTTAGCTTTAGCCTCCGGAGCTAACCCCGAGTCCGGCTCAGCTGTGAAAATGTTACCGCTCTCCATCAAAGACGACGAGTACAAACCTGCCAAGTTCAACCTGCTGCTCAAGATTTCGGGATGGTTCAGGTAAAAAAAAAACCCAAAAAAACTAAACAAAAAACAATTTCATCCGCCAGAAAGCGACACCTGTGATGCTAAAATGCTAAAGCGGCTAAGTGCCAGCTGTTCTGGGTGAATGATGGAATGCTAACGGCGGCTAAACTCTGCACAATCTGACTAAATTAACTTCACAAACACTTAAAATCACCCTGACAACAGTTTACAAATGTACCGGAATGTGTTTGGGCTTGATCAAATGCTTAACAGTGAACCCCGCGTGTTTTTTGGGCTTATTTTTGTCTGTTTTGTCGTGTTTATTTCTGCATCTTCAGGTCCATTCTCGCAGACAAAACCTCCAGGAATCTGTTCTCGTTCCTGTGCCTGAATCTGTCCTTCGCCTTCGTGGAGCTGGCCTACGGGCTGTGGAGTAACAGGTAACGGGGCAGGGGCAGGAGCCGGGGCAGGAGCAGGGGCAGGAGGTGGTGGTTGGTTTGTGTGTGTGTGTGTGTGCGGGGGTTTGGATGTGCCACGTAGGTCTAAGCTCCTCTTACGCTCATTCACAAACACAGAAGAGAGAAAAGAGAAGAGAGAAAAGGACATGCTGCTGACAAAGAGCGAAACCAAACTGACTGCTGGGTTTCAGATGACGTCACAATCAGTGTTGGGAAGGTGACTTTTAAAGTGTTTTTCTCTACACCAGGAGAGTCAAACTCATTTTGGTCCGTGGGTCGTGTCCAACCGACTTTGATCCCAAAGTGTCCGGATCAGAAAACTCATGTCATATAAACCCCAAAAATAACAATAAGTTCAAATATTTGTGCAGAGAAACACAAATCTATTACAGAAATCTTTTTTAATTGATGAACTCTTTCTTTTACAAAATATTATAATATTATGAACAACCTGAAACTTTAAGAAAAATACAATTTCAACACAAAGTTTGAACATGAACTTGTTTGCAAACAGGAATAAGTCCATTTTTGTTGTAAAATCCTGCACTCGGCTCCACTTTTCTCATGTTGGACATTTTTCTGATGAGGGTGTCACGGTCAACAGTCAAAACGATCGTCCTTTAAGAGCGTTTGGAAAGAGACAAGTCTTCATTTGTGCTGCTCTGGTGGGAGGGGCCACGTACAGAGACGCTGGAGACGCTGCTGTGATAAACACCACAGAAAATTAACAAGATTTTAATAGAAGATATCATTCAAATATTTTAGTAGAAAATCATCTGAGGGCCAGATTAAAGGTCTTGGAGGGCCGGATCCAGCCCCCGGGCCTTGTGTTTGACACCTGTGCCCTACAGATTACAGATTACTTACCCCAAAATGTAGTTTGTAATGTAATCCATTAAATTACTTAAAGTGAGTAATGTAATCTGAATACTTTGGATTACTTGATTTGCTGTAGAGAAACAAAGACGAGGAAATCGTCACGTAAAATGTTTTGTCTGATAAAAGAAAATAAAAAGCCCAGACTTTACTTAAACATACAAAAAATATTATTGATAGAAGACGAGGAGGCACGGTCTATGCAGCATCGTTTAGTCCTGTTAAATCCTGTTTTAGACCTGGTTTAATCTTGGTTTAGACCTAGTTTAGACTTGGTTTGGACCTGGGTTTAGACCTGGTTTAGTCCTGGTTTAATCTTAGTTTAGACCTAGTTTAGACCTGGTTTGGACCTGGGTTTAGACCTGTTTTAGAACTGGTTTTAGTCCTGGTTTAGACCTGGTTTTAGACTTGGTTTAGTGTTCGGCAATGAGTTTAATTACCGAAGCAAAAAAAAATAAATAAAATGAATAGCCCAAAATGTGAAAACAGGAAAATACTTCTGTGTAATCCATTTATTTCAACAAAGTAACTGTAATCCAATTACCACTCACTTAAACAGTCACTGGTCACAATATCCTGTACGACTATATTAAAGGTTGTACAGAGGATTTTTTAAGGGAAGTGAAATACAGCGACAGTTCTTTTTCAAATGTTGCTCTTGTGTGACACCACCTTCCTCCTCCACAGTTCCTCAGTAGAAACATCTCTTCCTCCCGCCTCTTTACTCTAGAAATCACGTTTGTTTACATCCAGAGCGCGTTCAAGAATTCCTGTTGAAGTGACCTGTTTAGAAATAAAATCCTTTGTCCGCTTCAGTGGCGCCGTCGCTGTAAGAAATCTCCAAGACTCACCTCAGTTTTGTTTTGCTCCTTTTTCCCTTCTCTTCATGACCTCAAAAACCGACTTTCTTTTGCGGCGAACTGCTCGTGGATTCTCGTCCGCCGTCGCAACAAACTTCGTGCGAACTGCGAAGACGCTACAAATTAAAAAAGCCTCGAAGAACCGCCGCATAAACCACGTAATCCCCGCGCGGCGGCGAGTCAGTTAAACTAGAAACATAGGGAGTTTGATTGACGACCTAACAGCCAATAGAAAATGAGGGAGCCTCGTTTTGTATTGGCTGATGTTTATCTGGCCTCAACACGTCCACAGTTGATAGATTTTCATTCTTTTATTTATTTATTTTTTGGTCATCATAATTACAAAACTGCTGCATCTCTGTAATTGTATTTTAAACTTTCACTGACGATTTGAAACAAAAAAAAATAAAAATCCTCCCATAAACCTTTAATTCATACAGATGGGGGTCAGCTAGTTGGTTAGTTTCAAATTGCATCAAATCTCTAGTAACATTGAAATTTGAAATGTTTGTAAACTAAATTCTATACATTTAATAATAATAATAACAGTAATAATACATGGGTATTTTTAGCGCTTTACACGGTACCACAAAGATGCTTCACAATAAAGTGAGACTAAAACAAGGACAGAGAAATCAATCATCATCAATCAATCAAACTTTATTTATAGAGTGTTTTTCATACAAAAAAATGCAACACAAAGAGCTTGAGGAGCAGTGGTGTGTGGGAGCTGTGGGCTGTGAGTTTGGAGCAGTTTAAAAAAAAAAGATGTTTAGTGAGTGTTGCGTTGTTTACATCAGTCGTTCGAGCCGTCCTGAGAGCTTCCTTATAACCCACCATAAAAATCCATTAAACAATAAACTCGTATCATATCAACACACTGTTTACGCCATGTTCTAAAAAAATAGGTCACTGTTAAAATGTCTGCTTTATGTTTTTCACTCTTTTATAATCTGTATAATAATGGGCCCGGTCAAGCAGAAGTAAACAACAAGGCCAAAAACTCAAGTTAATTCATCTGATATAAAAATGTATTGAACAGATACATATGTACTCTAGTTTATGAAACTGTTGACCTTTTTTCTGGACCATTTTTGGTTCTAAAGTTCCATACGTTTTAAACAGACCATGAATGAAACATGGAACAAAAATTATTTCCCAAATTTCAAAGACCCAAAAATCATGTAAATAAATGGATGTATTTCATCATATCTTGTGTTATTCCATCTTTGAACTGTTGATGAAGTGACATGATTTTAAAAAAAAAAGTATTTAAAATGATAAAAATTTGCTTGGAAGGACTGACATATTTTATAGAAATAGTTTCCTTTCATTTTGAAGTAATATTAAAATATTCGGAAGAAAAAAGCGACAAATGATGTAAAATCCTGCACCTTCTACTTGTTTGTACAATTTTCCCTCCGTTACTTTTCCCTCCGTTACCATGACTTTTTTAATAAAAAATCTCATGAGTCAAAAAGTCAGAGGTTTTTCAACCTAATCTTGTACCATATGGTAGAAAACTATATGAAGCAAATATTCAAACCAGTTTGTTAAGGATATGGAAGTGAGAACCAAGAGTTATCACTGTTTGGATTTATTGACCAAAAAGTGCTGCATATTTCATTCCCTCCGTTACCGACATGAGTTTTTTTAAATTTTTTTGTCTTGAACTTGAAAGAATCTCACAGGTTTAACTTGACCCTGTTGGAGTGTAACTCTTTCCTACATTCTGATACTTTACTTATTTCAATAGTTCCTCTAGTTTCTGAATAAGAGACATTTGAATGTCAAAAATCTGACCCTGTTTCCTCCGTTAACACTTGACTGGACCCTAAAATAACTGTGCAACATTGTGAATCGAGTTATTTTAGGGTGATTAAGGAGAATTGTTCTACACTCGGCCCATTTGTGACAAACATGAGTCAGTATAGTCACATTTCCTTTGTGTTTTGGTCATTTTTTTAAGCTGCTTTTCTGTATTGTCGAGGAGAAAATTCAGTTTGTCGACTGGACAAAAGTTAGTTTGGTTGAAGACGTTTCTCAGCTCCAAGCTGCTTCTTCAGTTCTGGTCAGACGCTGGTGACACTTCCTTATATCTGTCTGTATTGAGGAGCTAACTACACTGAAACTACTCTGAAACTAACACACACACTTGTTTACAGTTTCAGTGTAGTTTCAGAAAAGTTTTAGTGTAGTTTTAGTGTAGTTTCAGTGTAGTTTCAGTGTAGTTTTAAGGTAGTTTCAGTGTAGTTTCATTGTAGTTTCATTGTAGTTTCATTGTAGTTTTAAGGTAGTTTTAGTGTAGTTTCAGTGTAGTTTCATTGTAGTTTTAGTGTAGTTTCAGTGTAGTTTTAGTGTAGTTTTAAGGTAGTTTTAGTGTAGTTTTAATGTAGTTTCGGTGTAGTTTTAATGTAGTTTCAGTGTAGTTTCAGAGTAGTTTCAGTGTAGTTAGCTCCTCCCTGCAGACAGATATAAGGAAGTGTCCACCAGCGTCTGACCAGAGCTGAAGAAGCAGTTTGGACGAACTGAGAAACGTCTTCAAACCAAACTAACTTTTGTCCAGTCGACAAACTGAATTTTCTCCTTGACATGTTTTCTACCTGGACGACTGAGGGATTCTTCACGCTGCTTTTCTGTATTTTACTTAAACATAACCTAAGTATGCCATATTTTGAGCAGAAGCTGTGAGAATCGCCGCCTCTTTTGTCACTTGTGCCCTGAAACATAAACTCTAAAAGGAAGGGATAACAATTAATAGGTAAATAAATAAATGACAAGCTGAAATGTGGCCAAACCGGTTCAAACAGTGATTTAAGAATTCACTGAACAAATGTTTGAACCTGATAAAAGGAGGGAAAGAAACCAAAACAAACACCGCACCCAGACTGAACTCAAACTGGATTTCAGTAAAAAGGAACAGACTCAATCCTCAATACTGATTCTGATACCATTAAAAAAAACAACTCTTTCCTGAAACAATCTCCTTTGATTTTCAATATTAAATGATAAAACTTTCTTTTCTATTCCCACGTGTCCTTATAACTGATTCCGTAGTGATCCGTGGGCGTATTTTTATTGAATTTTTTCTTTTATTTATTTTTTATTCATTATTTTTCTTATTTTTATTTCTTATTTTATGTTTAAATGTCCCGTCTCATGCAAAATAACTCTTTTCACATTGTATCTTCTGCAAATAAACAAGCACAATTTGTGTTAATGTGTAATGGCAGAAGAAACACACAAATTCTCTGGTTCAGTCCTGGTTCAGTCCTGGTTTAGACCGGTTTTAGATATAATTTAGCTCTAGATTAGACCTGGCTTGGACCAAGTTTAGACCTGGTTTAGACTTAATTTAGACGTAATTTACATTAAACTTGGTTTGGACCTGGTTTACACCACGTTTAGCCCACGTTTGGACCTGGTTAGACCAAATTCAGTACTGGTTCAGTCCTGGTTTAGACCCATTCTAGAACTTATTTGGATCTGGTTTGGACCTGGTTTAGACCTGGCTTGGACCAAGTTTAGACCTGGTTTAGACTTAATTTAGACATAATTTAGATCTAGATTAAACTTGGTTTAGATTTGGTTTAGACCACATTTGGACCTGGTTAAGACCACGTTTAGACCACGTTTAGACCACGTTTAGACCACGTTTAGACCACGTTTAGACCACGTTTAGACCACGTTTAGACCACGTTTGGACCTGGTTTAGACCAAGTATGAACCTGGTTCAGTCCTGGTTCAGTCCTGGTTCAGTCCTGGTTTAGACCCGTTTTAGAACTTATTTAGACCTGGTTTGGGCCTGGTTTAGATCTGGTTTGGACCTGGTTTAGACCTGGTTTTGACCTGTTGTAGAACTTATTTAGACCTGGTTTTGGCCTGGTTTGGACCTGGTTTGGACCTGGTTTAGACTAATCACTGTCAGTGGGACATTTTTAGCATCGATACCTGTGAAAAATGAGGCTCTATTTCCGATCAGAATCAGATTTTCAGATTTTCCTTTTCCTTTTATCTGCTGTTGTCCGTCGGTTGTGAAGAGGAACCCCCCGCAGACGTGACATGGAGAGAGTAAAACGTTTAGAGCAGAAGTCGTGCGTGAGTCTCGGTGTGGACACTTCCTTCCTCTTTGTGTTCCTCGGGTTCATTGTGATTCCGTCGTGAGGGAGTTTTTATGATCTATTATCTCATGTGAACTACTACTGTTACCACCGTTACCATGGTTACGTGACACTTATCTGATTCACCCACATGACCTGCACAGGAAATACACGGAAAGAGTTTTTATTGTTTTGTAGGATTTTTCAAACATTTCTAAAGAGAAATCCTGTAGAATTTTATTTAAAGGTCCTGATGTCTCGCAAAATGGACTTTTTATGAGCTTTAAGTCGTGTTTATAATGTTGTTCTCTCCTCAAAAACAGAGCTGGACTTGAGTTTTGTGTTTGAGTGAATCTTTATTATGAGTCTGTTTACGTCTACAAAGCTCCAAACGCTCTGGTCCACCTTGTGATGTCATGAAGTGCTAGTTTTCAGGTTTAACAGCTACTTTTACCTTTAGTTCAGTAGAGAAGAGTTTAAGTTCTGGTTTAGACCTGGTTTAGACATTATTTAGCCCAGATTTACATGTAATTTAGATCTAGATTAGAACTGGTTTGTCCTAGTTTAGACCTGGTTTCATGCTGATTTAGTTCTGATTTAGACCTAATTTAGACCTGTTTTAGTCCTGGTTTAGACCTGATTTAGACATAATTTAGATCTAGATTAGACCTGTTTTAGTCCTGGTTTAGACCTGGTTTAGACCTGGTTTAATCCTGGTTCAGTTCTGTTTTAGTCCTGGTTCCGATCAGGTTCAGTCCTGGTTTAGACTTGGTTCAGTCCTGGTTTAGACTTGGTTCAGTCCTGGTTTAGTCCTGGTTTAGACTTGGTTCAGTCCTGGTTTAGTCCTGGTTTAGACTTGGTTCAGTCCTGGTTTAGTCCTGGTTTAGACTTGTTTGAGTCCTGGCTTAGACCTGTCTTACATCTGGTTTAGACCTGGTTTAGATTTATTTAGAAATTATTTAGGCCTGGGCTAGACCTGGTTTAGACCTAGTTGAGTCCTGGCTTGGTCCTGGTTTAGTCCTGGTTTAGACCTGGTTCAGTCCTGGTTTAAAGTGAACAGCTCCTTTTCTCTTTAGTTCAGTAGAGTTTGGTCAGTTCCAGGACTGAAATGATCCAGGTGATTCTAGTGAAGGTGTGTGGACTTTAAAAACACAACAGCCTGTATCAACACATGATGACATCACAAGGTGGAACAGAATGTTTTCAGTTTGAGAGAAGAGAACAAAAAACAACAAAAAACCCAACTCCAGGTCTGTTTGTGATGAGGAAATGACTTTAGAACAGAGATGAAGAGTTTTCGTTTAGTTGATTTAATTTTAATTTTTTTTAAATTTTTATTAACGTCGTGTTTTTTTTCCCCGTGTTTGTGTTTTTGTCTCCAGTTTAGGTCTGATCTCGGACTCCTTCCACATGTTCTTCGACTGCACGGCGCTCCTGGCCGGACTCGCCGCGTCGGTGATCTCGCGCTGGAGATCCAACGACAGCTTCTCCTACGGGTGAGTGAGGGACCAGCAGGGGGCGCTCTGTTCCAGCGGGGGGCGGTCTCTGTTCCGGCGGGGGCGGTCTCCGCTCCGGCGGGGGGCGCTCTGTTCCAGCGGGGGGGTGGTCTGTTCGGCGGGGGGGGCGCTGTTCCGGCGGGGGGTTCCGGCGGGGGGGTGGTCTGTTCCGGGCGGGGGGTGGTCTGTTCCGGCGGGGGGGGGTCTGTTCCGGCGGGTGGTCTGTTCCGGCGGGGGTGGTCTGTTCCGGCGGGGGGGTGGCTGTTCCAGCGGGGTGGTCTGTTCCGGCGGGGGACGCTCCGTTCGGCGGGGGGTCTGTTCCGGTGGGCGGGGGGCGGTCTGTTCCGGCGGGGGGGTGGTCTGTTCGGCGGGGGGTGGTCTGTTCCGGCGGGGGCGGCGGGGGGGTGGTCTGTTCCGCGGCGGGGGACGCTCCGTTCCGGCGGGGGGGTGGTCTGTTCCGGCGGGGGGGCGGTCTGTCCGGCGGGGGGGGGGTCTGTTCCGGCGGGGGACGCTCCGTTCCGGCGGGGGGTGGTCTGTTCGGCGGGGGGGGTTCCGGCGGGGGGTGGTCTGTTCCGGCGGGGGGGTGGTCTGTTCCGGCGGGGGGGCGGTCTGTTCCGGCGGGGGGTGGTCTGTTCCGGCGGGGGCTCCGTTCCGGCGGGGGTGGTCGTTCCGCGGGGGGTGGTCTGTTCCGGTTCCGGCGGGGGCGGGGGCGGTCTCCGCTCCGCACCGACGCTCTTCTCCAGGGAGACGGCGTCCACGCTTTGTCTCGAATGTTCCTCAGTGCAGCATTAAACCTTTCTGTCGTCACGGAGACCAAAACAGATCGGGTCAGACCGAGTTACAGGTCAGATCTGTGGAGAGGCGACGTATTGTTAGTCTGTCTATCTCCAGAATTCAATACGCACTGATCCACCTTGTGATGTCATGAAGTGGTAGTTTTTAACTTTTACCTTCAGTTCAGTAGAAAAGAGGTTTAGTCCTGGCTTAGTCCTGGCTTAGTCCTGGCTTAGTCCTGGTTTAGTCCTGGCTTAGACTTGGCTTAGAGCTGTTTTAATCTTGGTTTAGACCTGTTTTAGTCCAGGTTTAGACCCGATTTAGTCCAGGTTTAGACCTCTTTTAGAACTTATTTAGACCTGATTTAAGATTAATTTAGGTCTGGTTCAGTCCTGGTTTAGACCCGTTTACACCTGGTTTAGTCCAGGTTTAGACCTTTTTTTAGACTTGTTTTAGACCTGGTTTAGACCTTTTCTTAGGCCTGGTTTTAGACCTGGTTTAGAACTTTTCTTAGACTTGGTTTAGAACTTTTTTTAGACTTGGTTTAGACCTTTTTTTTAGGCCTGGTTTAGAACTTTTTTAGGCCTGGTTTAGAACTTTTTTACTTTTCTTTTCCTGGTTCAGTCCTGTTTTAGACCTGGTTTAGACCTGGTTTAGACCTGGTTTAGACCTGGTTTAGACCTGGTTTAGACCTGGTTTAGACCTGGTTTAGACTGGTTTAGACCTGGTTTAGACCTGGTTTAGACCTGGTTTAGACCTTGGTTTAGACCTGGTTTAGACTTGGTTTAGACCTGGTTTAGACTTGGTTTAGACCTGGTTTAGACCTGGTTTAGACTTGGTTTAGACTTGGTTTAGACTTGGTTTAGACCTGGTTTAGACTTGGTTTAGACTTGGTTTAGACTTGGTTTAGACCTTGGTTTAGACTTGGTTTAGACTTGGTTTAGACCTGGTTTAGACTGGTTTAGACTTGGTTTAGACCTGGTTTAGACCTGGTTTAGACTTGGTTTAGACCTGGTTTAGACTTGGTTTAGACCTGGTTTAGACTTGGTTTAGACTTGGTTTAGACTTGGTTTAGACTTGGTTTAGACCTTGGTTTAGACTTGGTTTAGACTTGGTTTAGACCTGGTTTAGACTTGGTTTAGACTTGGTTTAGACTTGGTTTAGACTTGGTTTAGACTTGGTTTAGACTTGGTTTAGACTTGGTTTAGACTTGGTTTAGACTTGGTTTAGACTTGGTTTAGACCTGGTTTAGACTGGTTTAGACTTGGTTTAGACTTGGTTTAGACTGGTTTAGACTTGGTTTTGGTTTAGACCTTGGTTTAGACTTGGTTTAGACTTGGTTTAGACTTGGTTTAGACTTGGTTTAGACTTGGTTTAGACCTGGTTTAGACTTGGTTTAGACTTGGTTTAGACTTGGTTTAGACTTGGTTTAGACTTGGTTTAGACTGGTTTAGACTGGTTTAGACTTGGTTTAGCCCTAAACGAGCCCTAAAAGTCGCAAGTGATAAAAGCAGATTTTACCACCGTGTTCACTTTTTGTCAAATTTAAAATCAAAGTTGGTGACAGACGGTTTTACATGCCTCCTTTTGTTTTCTTGAGCTTTAAAACCATCTGTAATTGAATAAACGTAAAGTAGAGCTGTTTAATGTCACACTGCGGAACATTCCAGGGACAGAGCGATGACATCTCCATAGAAACAAGAACTTGACGGCCCCCAAAAGTTACACAGTGCAGCTTTAGAGTCGGGATTCTGTTCACGACGCACGATTTAAACGCGTCCGGGAGCTTTAAAGGTCCGTTGCGTAACTTTTCTGGTCCACGATCCGCCGCCTGCTTGACTCCGCGTCGGTGCTGTCGCCCTGGAAACAAAGAGCCGCGTCACCGGGCCAAGTTACAGGTCAGATCTGTGGAGAAAAGGGCCCCCTTGCCGTAATAAAGTGGTAGTTTTAAAGAAATAAAAACTCCTCTAATTGAATAAAAACTACATATATTTATTTAATGCCGTACAAAACAAAAAGTTACATAGTGCACCTTTAATATTTGAGACAAGACTGAAATGTGATGTTTGTTTGACTCTCTGTCGTCTCTTCTCGTTGCAGATACGTGAGAGCCGAGGTTCTGGCCGGATTCGTGAACGGGCTGTTTCTCATTTTCACGGCGTTTTTCATTTTCTCTGAAGGAGTCGAGGTGAGTGTCGCCGTTTTCCCCCAGGTTCTGGAGTTTTACACAGAAACACCCGTTCGCCGATGTCAAATATGTCGTTATTAAGGATGGTACAAGATCTTGTGCCACAAGACAAAAATTATCTTGTGAGATTTTTTTCTACGTATTTACATTTGGATTTGGTTGAAAGGGTTACCGTATTTTTTGGACTATAAGGCGCACTTAAAATCCTTTAATTTTCTCAAAAATCAACATAACCCAACTTTTTTATTAAAGAAAAAAAACAGATCTCGATGGTTTTAGCACAAATTATGTGATTATTTCCTGATTTTTAATAATACTTGACAAATTTAAAATACTGTATCGACCTATAAAGTTGGTCTCAATGCTTTAAGGGGAGGTGTTGTTTGGGACCAGTGACAGCCGTCATTTTCTGCACTTTCTGTATTTTGAGTGGTGCTTAGTCAAGCCAAAATACGAGTGAACATGCCCCACGATCCAGAGCGCCCCATACACGAATCCACTCGGGTGTCCCAGCACGACTTCAGTGAACTACAAACACACAAACACACACACAGAACACACAAACACACACGGAGCAGACAGCGACCGCACACACACACTCATCGCTCCACGCCGACGAGGAACGGAACGGAGGAACGAACCGAAAAAAGGCGAGCGCGACGTGCCGCTTCTAGACACGACTGAACAACTGAGTCACTGCGAACACGCCGACAATCTGTTGGTCCCAGACACACCCTCCCTACACGAAAGTTTTAAAATGTAAGAAATGACCGATAACGATGGACAAAACTGAAATTTCGTTTACCAAGATTAGAATTTCTGTCGAGATGAATGGAAAACTGTGCTTAAAGACGGGGTATTTTTGGAGCTTTCTCCCATGTTATAACATTCCATAGTCTAAAAAAAAGTCTGAAGAGGTTTTAGAGACATCCACGCGTGTTTGAGTAATCTAGCGATCTCTCTGTATGAGATTTCTCCATAAATACGACAATAAACACGAAAATTCTCCATAAATAATACAAAAACATGACAGAAAACCGCAGTAGTTTCGTTAGACGGGACGCACAGTGATTGTGTTGTGATCGCGCTCTGAAGGGGGAGCGACTTAGCAGCAAAACCGAAACTTATAAAACATGTTAATCTGTTGTTGCGGGTGATTATACTGTTTACAAAACAATAAAAAGAACTAAAAATGTGAGGAACGGAACGGAGGAACGAACCAAAAAAGCGAAGAGCGCGACGAGCCGCTTCTAGACACGACTGAACAACTGAGTCACTGCGAACACGCAGACAATCCACTGGTCCCAGACACTACTCCCTACACGCCACAACTGAACAAAGCCCAGAGTCACCGTGAACAAACAAACAAACAAAACCACTCACCCATCACACTGTTGGGTTTCATTTAAAGTCCCACATGGTTTATTTGTGAAAAAAGTTCGAAAATAGACCAATTAATGACGCATAATCCAGAGCGACTGATAGTGCAGAAAATACAGTACATTATGGATTTTTTTTGGTGGTTGTGGGTGGGCCTAGGCCCGTCAGGTCAGTTGGAATGGAAGATCAGGTGTGGTGGACTGGCCTGCACCGGCCCACCAGGCGTTTGCCCGGTCGTACAGATTGCCAGTTCGAGCCTGTACGCGGCACTCAAAAATCTCTCAAATGTTTTAGTATGACTTTGGTAAACTACTCTGAAATTTTGTAACTACATGTCGAACCGACGCAGACAATAAGGGCTGTGATTGGTCGTCTCTAAATCAGCTCTACAGACATTTCCGGTGCTCTGCTTTTTCCCGTTTCATTTTGTAAACATAAATGCCAGTTTTAAATCCTCGCCTCCTGACGTTGTGGCGGTGAATTACTCCACGGCACATAGATTTATAAATCAATCTTCTACAGTTCCAACAAACATTAAACTGAACCTTGAAATGCATGTACTGTATTTTTCAGACTGTAAGTGTCAATTTTTTACATGGTTTTTAACATCTAAACTGAGAAGACTGAACACAAATGCTGCCAAAATCAAAATCAGATTGTGTAGATTTACAAACTGCGAGTAGAGAAATCTGAACTGTGCTGGTGTTGTGTTTTCCTCAGAGAGCTCTGGAGCCTCCGGACGTGCACCACGAGCGGCTGCTGCCCGTCAGCGTCGCCGGGCTCCTGGTCAATCTGGTCGGAATCTTGTGTTTCAGCACGGAGGCCACGGACACTCGCACGGAGGAGACGCAGGTGGGTCACTCTGCGTTTGACCCAGACCGATATTTTGTTCTGTCTGACCTGCTGTCTGAAGAATATCCAGAAAACTTTATTAGAACACACAGCGCAAAGATATAACAACATAAAACATGACTCCTCAGCTCTGGCAGAGTTTGGAGTAAATTTAAGTAACAGAATTAGGGAAAAAAAAAAAAAAAAGGCAAGGCAAGTTTATTTGTAAAGCACAATTCGTACACAAAGTAACTCAAAGTGTTTTACAGAATAAGAAAAACGTAAAAATCACAATAAAAAACAAATCAAAACATAAATAATCATCATAAAATTAAAAAGAGAGAGACATTAATTACATAAATGAGAGAAGAGCGGAGAATGACAAATGAAAACCTTTCAGTCACACGCAGATAAACACAAACGTTCTGAGTCTGGATTTAAACAGAGTCAAGAGTCGAGTTTGTCTCACATGTTCAGACTGTTCCAGGTTTTAGCTGCATGAACCTGAAACTCTGACTCCCCGAGTTTAGTCCTGACTCTGGGCACCAGCAGGAAGCCGGGACTATACCAGGACTGGAGCAGGACTGGAGCAGGACTGGAGCAGGACTGGAGCAGGACTGGAGCAGGACTGGAGCAGGACTAGAGCAGGACTGCAGGACTGGAGCAGGACTGGAGCAGGACTGGAGCAGGACTGGAGCAGGACTGGCAGGACTGGAGCAGACTGGAGCAGGACTAGAGCAGGACTTGGAGCAGGACTGGAGGACTGGAGCAGGACTGGAGCAGGACTGGAGCAGGACTGGAGCAGGACTGGAGCAGGACTAGAGCAGGACTGGAGCAGGACTGGAGCAGGACTGGAGCAGGACTGGAGCAGGACTAGAGCAGGACTTGGAGCAGGACTGGAGCAGGACTGGAGCAGGACTAGAGCAGGACTAGAGCAGGACTAGCAGGACAGAGCAGGACTGGAGCAGGACTGAGAGACTGAGAGGACTGGAGCAGGACTGGAGCAGGACTGAAGCAGGACTGGAGCAGGACTAGAGCAGGACTGAGCAGGACTAGAGCAGGACTAGAGCAGGACTGGAGCAGGACTGGAGCAGGACTGGAGCAGGACTAGAGCAGGACTAGAGCAGGAGGTTGGTCCCTGAGCTCCTCAGAGTGCAGATGGTTCACGTGGCTCTAACATGTCACAGACTTTGGTGCTCGGTCGTTGACAGATTTGGACAAACAGAGTCTCTACAGACCTGAGCCACAGACCTGAGCCACAGACCTGAGCCACAGACCTGAGCCACAGACCTGAGCCACAGACCTGAGCCACAGACCTGAGCCACAGGGGGCAGTGCAGAGACCTGAGCACAGGACACATGTGCTCAGACTTCCTGTTTGGAGTCAGGACCCGAGCTGCAGAGTTTAGTCCTGGTTTAGTCCTGGTTTAGTCTTGGTTTAGTCCTGGTTTAGTCCTGGTTTAGTCCTGGTTTAGTCCTGGTTTAGTCCTGGTTTAGTCTTGGTTTAGTGGTTTAGTCCTGGTTTTTTTGACCTGGTTTGACCTGGTTTTGACCTGGTTTTGACCTGGTTTAGACCTGGTTTTTTAGTCTTGGTTTAGTCCTTGGTTTAGACCTGGTTTTAGACCTGGTTTTAGTCCTGGTTTAGTCCTGGTTTAGTCTTGGTTTAGTCCTGGTTTAGTCCTGGTTTAGTCCTGGTTTAGTCCTGGTTTTGACCTGGTTTTGACCTGGTTTTGACCTGGTTTAGTTTTGACTGGTTTTGACCTGGTTTAGTCTTGGTTTAGACCTGGTTTAGACCTGGTTTAGACCTGGTTTTGACCTGGTTTTAGACCTGGTTTAGACCTGGTTTAGACCTGGTTTAGACCTGGTTTAGACCTGGTTTTGACCTGGTTTTGACCTGCATCACACAGACATAAAGACACATGAAAATAGAAAAGAAAGTTCGACCATTTAATGTAGAAAATCACAGGAGATTGTCAAAAGAATCATTCATCTTCGTGGTATCGGTATCGGTATCGATTATCAAAACTCTGATCTCCTCCGTTTCTCTGTTTCTCTGTGTTCAGGTCACGGTCACAGTCACTCCCTGTTTAACGGCCTGAGCCACGGCCACAGCCACTCGGAGAAACACTCACACGGAGGAGGACACGGAGGACACGGAGGACACGGAGGACACGGAGGACACGGAGGACACGGAGGACACGGAGGACACGGAGGACACGGAGGACACGGAGGACACGGAGGACACGGGGACACGGGCACAGTCACGCAGGAGCAGACGGCCACTCACACGACCATCACGAGAAACACGGACACGCGCACGACCACGGAGGACACAGCCACGACGACCACCAGTGCCACGGTAACGACGGACGCCATTTTGAGGACTCTGACACGTTCATCACTCACCTGGAATTTACACCACTGTTCAGAATGACGTTACTTTTCAGAATATTTAATAAAAAATGTGTTTCCTTTTCCAGACGAACCTCTGACACCGGGAAAAGGCTCCAGCAAACAGATTCTACAAGGTGAGACTGAACTGAACCTCCGTGTTTTTCTACTTTTCTCTGTTCTCACATTAAAGGTGTAATGTAGTGACCGATGTGTCTTTAGTCTTTAAATTAGGGTGACCATATTTCCGTTTGTGAAAACCCGGACACTTTCCCGGGGCTGGGGCCTCGACACTGAGCTACAGTCGGCCCTCGATATATCGCGGTTCACCTTGTGTGGTCTCGCCGTTTCCCGGATTTTCTTTTTTTTTTGTCAATTTTGCATGTTTTTTTTTTTTTTTTTGGACAAATGGCTGGGTCAGGACTAAACCAGGTCTAAACCAGGACTAATCTTGGACTTAAGAGAGAAAACACCGAGCAGTTTGTCTGCAAAGCGCGATCGGGCAACTGCCGCGTTTAACTCCGTGAGGTGCAGAGCTGAACCGCTCCTTTCTCCTGCGTCACCTCCAAGACCAACCCCACAGTGAGACCTGGTTCAGTTCTGGTTTAGTCCTGGTTTAGACCTGGTTTAGACCTAGTTTAGACCTGGTTTAGACCTGGTTTAGTCCTGGTTTAGACCTGGTTTAGTTCTGATTTAGTTCTGGTTTAGTCCTGGTTTAGTCCTGGTTTAGTCTTGGTTTAGTCCTGGTTTAGTCTGGTTGTTTAGAGTCCTGGGTTAGTCCTGGTTTAGTCTTGGTTCAGTCCTGGGTTAGTCCTGGTTTAGTCCTGGTTTAGTCCTGGTTTAGTCCTGGGTTAGTCCTGGTTTAGTCCTGGTTTAGTCCTGGTTTAGTCCTGGTTTAGTCCTGGGTTAGTCCTGGTTTAGTCTTGGTTCAGTCCTGGTTTAATCCTGGGTTAGTCTTGGTTTAGTCCTGGTTTAGTTCTGGTTTAGACCTGGGTTAGTCCTGGGTTAGTCCTGGTTTAGTCTTGGTTCAGTCCTGGGTTAGTCCTGGTTCAGTCCTGGTTTAGTCCTGGTTCAGTCCTGGGTTAGTCCTGGTTCAGTCCTGGGTTAGTCCTGGTTAGTCCTGGTTTAGTCCTGGGTTAGTCCTGGTTTAGTCCTTGGTTCAGTCCTGGTTTAGTCCTGGTTCAGTCCTGGGTTAGTCTGGGTTAGTCCTGGTTTAGTCCTGGGTTAGTCTGGTTTAGTCTGGTTAGTCCTTACCTGGTTTAGTCCTTTTGGTTAGTCCTGGTTTAGTCTGGTTCAGTCCTGGTTTAGTCCTGAGTCCTGGTTTAGTCCTGGGTTAGTCCTGTTTAGTCCTGGTTTAGTCCTGGTTAGTCCTGGTTTAGTTTAGTCCTGGTTTAGTCTTGGTTCAGTCCTGGGTTAGTCCTGGTTCAGTCCTGGTTAGTCCTGGTTTAGTCCTGGTTTAGTCCTGGGTTAGTCCTGGTTTAGTCCTGGGTTAGTCCTGGTTTAGACCTGGTTTAGTCCTGGTTTAGTCTTGGGTTAGTCCTGGTTTAGTCCTGGTTTAGTCCTGGGTTAGTCCTGGTTTAGACCTGGTTTAGTCCTGGTTTAGTCCTGGTTTAGTCCTGGTTTAGTCTGGTTTAGACCTGGTTTAGTCCTGGTTTAGTCCTGGTTCAGTCCTGGGTTAGTCCTGGTTTAGACTGGTTTAGACCTGGTTTAGACCTGGTTTAGTCCTGGTTTAGTCCTGGTTTAGACCTGGTTTAGTCCTGTTTAGTCCTGATTTAGTCCTGATTTAGTCCTGGTTAGTCCTGTTGGTTTAGACCTGGTTTAGACCTGGTTTAGTCCTGGGTTAGTCCTGGTTTAGTCCTGGGTTTAGTCCTGGTTAGTCTTGTTCAGTCCTGGTTTAGTCCTGGTTCAGTCCTAGGTTTAGTCCTGGTTTAGTCCTGGGTTAGTCCTGGTTTAGTCCTGGGTTAGTCTGGTTTAGTCTGGTTAGTCCTGGTTTAGTCCTGGTTTAGTCCTGGTTAGTCCTGGTTTAGTCTGGTTCAGTCCTGGTTTAGTCCTGGTTCAGTCCTGGGTTAGTCCTGGTTTAGTCCTGGTTTAGTCCTGGTTTAGTCCTGGGTTAGTCTGGTTTAGTCCTGGGTTAGTCCTGGTTTAGTCTGGTTCAGTCCTGGTTAGTCCTGGTTTAGTCCTGGGTTAGTCCTGGTTTAGTCCTGGTTTAGTCCTGGTTAGTTCCTGGTTTAGTCCTGGTTTTAGTCCTGGTTTAGACCTGGTTTAGTCCTGGTTTAGTCCTGGTTTAGTCCTGGTTTAGTCCTGGTTTTAGTCCTGGGTTAGACCTGGGTTTAGACCTGGTTTAGTCCTGGTTTAGTCCTGGTTTAGTCCTGGTTTAGTCCTGGTTTAGACCTGGTTTAGTCCTGGTTTAGTCCTGGTTAGTCCTGGGTTAGTCCTGGTTTAGACCTGGTTTAGACCTGGTTTTAGACCTGGTTTAGTCCTGGTTTAGTCCTGGTTTAGACCTGTTTAGTTTAGTCCTGGTTTAGTCCTGTTTAGTCCTGATTTAGTCCTGGTTTAGTCCTGGTTTAGTCCTGGTTTAGACCTGGTTTAGACCTGGTTTTAGTCCTGGTTTAGTCCTGGTTTAGTCCTGGTTCAGTCCGTGTCGTGGGCAGCGCAAAAGTTTGATATAATCTTGGGTTAACGGGCAGGTGCGGTCCTGTCCTGGCAGGTGCGGTCCTGTCCTGGCGGGTGTGGTCCTGTCCTGGCAGGTGCGGTCCTGTCCTGGCAGGTGCGGTCCTGTCCTGGCAGGTGCGGTCCTGTCCTGGCAGGTGCGGTCCTGTCCTGGCAGGTGGGTGCGGTCCTGTCCGGCGGGTGTGGTCCTGTCCTGGCGGGTGCGGTCCTGTCCTGGCGGTGCGGTCCTGTCCTGGCAGGTGTGGTCCTGTCCTGGCAGGTGCGGTCCTGTCCTGGCAGGTGCGGGTCCTGTACTGGCAGGTGCGGTCCTGTCCTGGCAGGTGTGGTCCTGTCCTGGCAGGTGCGGTCCTGTCCTGGCAGGTGTGGTCCTGTCCTGGCAGGTGTGGTCCTGTCCTGGCAGGTGTGGTCCTGTCCTGGCAGGTGCAGGACTCTGCTCTGTCGGCTCCATTACAGAATAAATGAATCTTCAGTTCGTTACATAAAGAAGGAGGAAAATAACAAAAGGACGACAACAGAAACAAGTTTGAAGAAGGAAGTAAAAAGTGTTGCACCTGTCGATCCTGTCGGAGAAAAGTGTATAAAGTTTGTGCTGAGGTTTTACAGACTTAAAACAGACAGAATCATTGTAAATTCACCTGTCGCAGATTATTTTTAGCGATAAACGAGGGACACTGTCCTCTCACCTCAGCCTGTGCACATGGACTCACACTTGTCTCCACCGGGACGGAATACGGAGAGTTTCTTGTACAAGTCGTTGTTAAACGCTCCTTCTGAGTCACAGACGCTCAGTTTAATGCCCCCAGTGAACGATAATGAAAACTCAGACATTTGCATCACTTAAAAAAAACAAAAAACAAAACAGACGCCCAGGACAGAACGCAAAATATGGTCACCCTAGTTTAGACCCTTCGTCTGCTTCAGTCGCGCCATCGCTTTAAAGAATCTCCAAGAATCACCTTCGTTAGGCTTCGCTCCTTTTCCCATTTTTCTTTTCTTTCCCTCTTTCTTTCGTGGATTCTTGTCCGAAATGATTTGGACACAGGAACTCACGTATATAAAATAATAACAAAGAGAAAAATATATAAATGGTAAATTCTAAATAAGTAGTAAAAAGAGCAAGAGACGGGTGTGAAATAAGACATAAGTCAAAATAAAATGTAAAATAAGTAATAAAATATAAAATCTCAGGTTTATACAAGAATTCATAAGAAGACAGTGCAACAATATGATGATTTAATATACTGTATTTTTGGAGTGTAAGTCACACCAGCCCAAAAATACATAATAAAGATGAAGTTCTAGTAATAAGAATAGAACAGAACAAACGTTGTGCTGCTTCCTCTTCTGTGTCGCTGTCAGACTCAGCATCAGTTCCAGTTAGATTTATTCTCGACTCTCCCAGCACAAAACACTACGCTGTGATTCTCAGTACGACCACTAGAGGGAGCCAGTTCATCAGAATAGAGAGGTCTGTGTGCGGCGGGTTTATGGAAGATAATCTGTTCAATTACAGTTTGAATTTTAAATACCGCTGAATTTCTCACTTAATTTTAGAATAGTTTTTATTCAGGAGTTTAGTTGCTGAAATTTTAAGTGTATCTTTTGTTTCTGTTTCAAATTCCAAATAAAAATGTCACCTTTTTAAATATTCAGCACAGAAAAAACAAAACAAAACAAAACACGACTATTAACTACGAAACACTTGCTTTTCTTTAAATTTTCTTGAACATTACCTTTTATTTTGTACGATCATAAACGATAAACCTCTGTGCCTTCGTTCATGTTTGTATTAGTTTGTACGACCGTGAACGAAAACAAAAATGTCCTTACGATTTTTCATTCTCATTGTGATTTATTTTGCGCGATTATAAACGATAAACTGCTGTGCCTCTGTTAACATTATTAGTTTGTACGACCGTAAACGAAAAGAAAAAAATATATGTAAATAAATAAATACTCAGCACAGATATTTTCAGTTCCTTTAAATTCAACAGTCAAACTTCAGAGTGTAAAATTTGTAGAATAAAATTTCAAGAGGCCGAGACAGAAGCGTTGATCCTGGAGGAGGACAGAGGATCTTTTAACGACTTTCGCCTTTCGTACCTGGATAGTTGTGGATAGTTGTGGATAGTTGTGGATAGTTGTGGATAGTTGTGGATAGTTGTGGATAGTTGTGGATAGTTGTGGATAGTTGTGGATAGTTGTGGATAGTTGTGGATAGTTGTCATTTGTGCAGTAACTCTGTCTGTCTCTGCTGTTTGGTCCAGGCGTCCTGCTGCACATCATCGCAGACACTCTGGGCAGTATCGGAGTCATTATTTCAGCCATTCTGATGCAGAAATACGACCTGATGATCGCAGACCCCATCTGCTCCATGCTCATCGCTCTGCTCATAGGAGTCAGGTAACAGTCTGTACTGTGTTCTGATCAAAACAGGACTACACCAGGTCTAAACCAGGTCTAAACCAGGTCTAAACCAGGTCTAAACCAGGTCTAAACCAGGTCTAAACCAGGTCTAAACCAGGTCTAAACCAGGTCTAAACCAGGTCTAACCAGGTCTAAACCAGGTCTAAACCAGGTCTAAACCAGGTCTAAAACCAGGTCTAAACCAGGTCTAAACCAGGTCTACACCAGGTCACCAGGTCTAAACCAGGTCTAAAACCAGGTCTCAGGTCTAAACCAGGTCTCAGGTCTAAACCAGGTCTAACACCAGGTCTAAACCAGGTCTAAACCAGGTCTAAACCAGGTCTAAACCAGGTCTAACCAGGTCTAACCAGGTCAAAACCAGGTCTACACCAGGTCTAAACCAGGTCTAAAACCAGGTCTAAAACCAGGTCTAAACCAGGTCTAAACCAGGTCTAAACCAGGTCTAGGTCACCAGGTCTAAACCAGGTCTAAACCAGGCTAAACCAGGTCTAAACCAGGTCTAAACCAGGTCTAAACCAGGTCTAACACCAGGTAAACCAGGTCAGGTCTAAACCAGGTCTAAACCAGGTCTAAAACCAGGTCTAAACACTAAACCAGGTCTAAACCAGGTCTAAACCAGGTCTAAACACAGGTCTAAACCAGGTCTAAACCAGGTCTAAACCAGGTCTAACTAAACCAGGTCTAAACCAGGTCTAAACCAGGTCTAAACCAGGTCTAACACCAGGTCTAAAACCAGGTTCTAAACCAGGTCTAAAACCAGGTCTAAACCAGGTCTAAACCAGGTCTAAACCAGGTCTAGGTCTAAACCAGGTCTAACCAGGTCTAACCAGGTCTAAACCAGGTCTAAACCAGGTCTAAACCAGGTCTAAACCAGGTCTAAAACCAGGTCTAAACCAGGTCTAAACCAGGTCTAAACCAGGTCTAACCAGGTCTAAACCAGGTCTAAACCAGGTACACCAGGTCAAACCAGGTCACCAGGTCTAAACCAGGTCTAAACCAGGTCTAAACCAGGTCTAAACCAGGTCTAAACCAGGTCTAAACCAGGTCTAAACCAGGTCTAAACCAGGTCTAAACCAGGTCTAACCAGGTAACCAGGTCTCTAAACCAGGTCTACTAAAACCAGGTCTAAACCAGGTCTAAAACAGGTCAAAAACCAGGTCTAAACCAGGTCTAAACCAGGTCTAAACCAGGTCTCACTAAACCAGGTCTAAACACCAGGTCTAAACCAGGTCTAAACCAGGTCTAAACCAGGTCTAAACCAGGTCTAAACCAGGTCTCAGGTCTAAACCAGGTCTCTAAAAACCAGGTCTAAACCAGGTCTAAACCAAAACCAGGTCTAAACCAGGTCTAAACCAGGTCTACCACTAAACCAGGTCTAAACCAGGTCTCAGGTCTAAAAACCAGGTCTAAACCACCAGGTCTAACCAGGTCTAAACCAGGTCTAAACCAGGTCTAAACCAGGTCTAAACCAGGTCTAAAACCAGGTCTAAACCAGGTCTAAACCAGGTCTAAACCACTAAACCAGGTCTAAACCAGGTCTAAACCAGGTCTAAAACTCACAGGTCTAAACGGTCAGGTCAAAACCAGGTCTCAAAACCAAAACCAGGTCTAAACCAGGTCTAAAACCAGGTCTAAACCAGGTCTAAACCAGGTCTAAACCAGGTTCTAAAGGTCCAGGTCTAAACCAGGTCTAAACCAGGTCTAAACCAGGTCAGGTCTAAAAAGGTCTAAACCAGGTCAAAACCAGGGTCTAAACCAGGTCTAAAACCAGGTCTAAACCAGGTCTAAACCAGGTCTAAACCAGGTCTAGGTCTAAACCAGGTCTAAAAAAACCAGGTCTAAACCAGGTCTAAACCAGGTCTAAACCAGGTCTAAACCAGGTTTAAACCAGGTCTAAACCAGGTTTAAATGAGGTTTAAACCAGGTCTAAACTAGGTCTAAGTCATGTCTTAAAACAAAGTCAAAGCAGGACTAAACCAAGTCTAAACCAGGTCTAAATGAGGTCTCAAAACCAACTCAAAATAGGTCTGAAGCAGGTCTGTAAATCATGAGTAAATCATGTCTAAACAGGACTGAACAAAGTCTCTGAATCAGGTCTAAACTGGGTCTCGAAACCAGGTCTAAACCAAGTCTGTCATGTCTTAAAACAAAGTCAAATCAGGACTAAATCAGGACTAAATCAGGTCTAAATCAGGTCTAAATCAGGTCTAAATCAGGTCTAAATCAGGTCTCAAAACCAAGTCAGAACAGGACTAAACCAAGGTCTGAACCGGGTCTTGAATCCAGAACTGAACCAGGGTCTGATCCGCATCTGATCTGGGTCTGAACCCAGGACTAAACCAGGACTAAACCAAGTCTAATTCAGGACAAATCCACATTTGAACCAGAACTGAACCAAGAACTGAACCAAGGTCTGAACCAAGGTCTGAACCAAGGTCTCAGTAGTTCAAAAAACACTTTTAAAAAATCAAAAAAGTATAATTCAAAATACCAAATAAAAAAGTAAAATAAAATAAATACATTTGCAATTAAATTATTTTGTGTAATCGTGTAGTTTTCGAGTTAAAGAGCCATTAAAATCAACATCAATCAACACTTTCAACACTTTTTATTGAGATTATAAAAAGATGTTCATGTTCTTAAAGACGGCTGTTCATTTTTGAAACATTTACTGATGATTATTTGAACGATTCTTCGCACGGAGATCGACAGAGATTCTAGAGTCGGGTAAAAATGGAAAGAGATTAGACAAAAATGGAAGCGAAACGAGGAAATCCCAGCTGCACGACTCGCTGTGGTCATGTGGTCCAAGCCCCGCCCCCTCTGGTTTACTACAGGCTGTAATCCGACCTGTCAATCATGCGAGCGAAGCCACATGTGAACCAAAACATCTGCGTGAGGTCAGAGACGATGGACGGACTGAGGACGGAGGGGATCATTTACCGACGTACAGATGTTTTACTTCAGAAAGTTTTATTTTAGTTTGAAAATCCCACTTTTTACGTCAGAGGGATCCACAGTGAATCTGCTCTAAACCAGGTCTAAACCAGGTCTGAACCAGGTCTGAACCGGGTCTGAACCAGGTCTGAACCAGGTCTAAACCGGGTCTGAACCAGGTCTGAACCACGTCTGAACCGGGTCTAAATCATGTCTCGAAGCCAGGTCTAAACCAGGTCTAAACCAGGTCGAAACCAGGTCGAAACCAGGTCGAAACCAGGTCGAAACCAGGTCGAAACCAGGTCTAAATCAGGTCTAAATCATGTCTAGAAATCAGGTCTAAATCAGGTCTAAACCAGGTCCAAACCAGGTCTAAATCATGTCTAGAAATCTAAATCAGGTCTAAATCAGGTGTAAATCAGGTGTAAACCAGGTGTAAACCAGGTGTAAACCAGGTCTAAACCAGGTCTAAACCAGGTCCAAACCAGGTCGAAATCAGGTCTAAAATGGGTCAAAACCAGGTCTAAACCAGGTCTAAACCTGGTCTGAACCAGGTTCAAACCAGGTTCAAACCAGGTCGAAACCAGGTCGAAATCAGGTCTAAAATGGGTCAAAACCAGGTCTAAACCAGGTCTAAACCAGGTCAAAACCAGGTCCAAACCAGGTCCAAACCAGGTCTAAACCAGGTCTAAACCAGGTCTAAATCATGTCTAGAAATCAGGTCCAAACCAGGTCTAAACCAGGTCTAAACCAGGTCTAAATCATGTCTCTAATCCAGGTCTGATCCAGGTCCAAACCAGGTCTGATCCAGGTCCAAACCCAGACCAGACCCTGAGTATTATGTAAATAACTCTTCTCTTGTGTTAAACTCAGATTTTCTGTCTCATCTCGTCACATTAAACCCGTGAAAACCCGGTTCATAATTTCCCGTAGAGTCCGGCTGAATTCTCCGAGCGCCGGAGTCTCGGCTCAGACGTGGCACCGATCGGAACAAAACAAACGAAACGACTTCCCAGAATCCTCAGGGGCGACTCTCTCCGATCGAACACGTTTTGTATCAGTCAGCAGAAAAGAGACGGAGCAGAAGACGTGTGGTCAGGAGAGAGAGAGGATGGAGGGAGGGAGGACAGACGGAGAGACGGAGGGAGAGATGTGGTCTGGAGAAAAAAAGAGAAACAGATAGAGAAGGGGAGAAAGAGAGATGTGGTCACAGGAGAGAGAGAGAGAGAAAGGGAGGGAGGGAGAGATGTGGTCAGAAGAGAGATGGAGGGAGAGAGAGGGAGGGGGTCCAGAAGAGGTGGAAAAGTGAGAGGGGGAGAGAGAGAGAGACAACAGAAGAGAGAGGGAGGGAGGGAGGGAGAGAGAGAGGGGCTGCAAGAAGAGGGAAGGAGAGAAGAGGGAGAGAGAAGAAGAGAGAGAGGAGAGGAGAGAGAGAGATAGAGAGAGGACAAGAGCGAGAGAGAGAGAGAGGAGAGAGAGATAGAGAGAGGACAAGAGCGAGAGAGAGAGGGGGGGGGGGTCCAGAAGAGGTGGAAAAAGTGAGAGGGGGAGAGACAACAGAGGAGAGAATGGATGAAGGAGGGAGAGAGGGAGAGGAGAAGAGATGTGGTCACAGGAGAGATGGAGAGAGAGAGAGAGGGAGGGAAAGAGGGACCTCAAGAAGAGGGGGAGGAGAGAGGAGGGGGGAGAGAAAAGTGAGACAGACAAGAGGAGGAGAGAGGAAGAGAACAAAACATGGAACAGAGAGAAAGAGACAGATAGAGGAGAGGAGGGGAGGGGAGAGAGAGGGAGAGAGGGAGGGGAAGACGGATAGACAACAGAAGAGAGAGTGAATGAATGACAGAGAGATGACGAGGGAGAGATGGAGAACGAGACAGAGGGAGTGACCACAAGAGGTGGAAAAGAGAGAGAAAGAGAGCGACAAGACAGAGGAGGGGAGAGAGATACACACAAGACATGGAAAGGAGAGAGAGAGAGAAAGAGAGGGACAAAACAAAGGACAGAGAAAGAAAGAGAGAGACCACAAGTTATGGAAGAGAAGAGATGACGAAGGAGAGATGGAGAGCGAGACAGCGGGAGAGAGAGAACTAGAGAGAGACAAGACGAAAATGAGAGAGAGAGACAGAGAGAGATACAAGACATGGAAAAGAGAGAGAGAGACAAAAAAGAGAGATAAAACAAAGGACAGAGAAAGAAAGAGACACAAGACATGGAAAAGAGAGAGAGGGGTGAGAGAGAAAAAGGGAGACAAGGCGGAGAAGAGGAGGAGAGAGAGACCACAGGACATGGAAAAGAGAGAGAAAGCGAGGAGTGAGAGATGAAGAGCGAGACAGAAGGAGAGAGACAAGACATGGAAAATGAGAGAGAGAGAAACAAGACAGAGGAGGGGAGAGAGACGCACAAGACGTGGAAAAGAGAGTAGGGGAGACACAGAGAAAGAGAAGAGTGAAAGAGTCAAAAATATCGAAAATCACACACCAATCGATACTAAAGCTAATATCGAAACCAGATCCTCGTTTTTCGCAGGTTTCGATATTAAAAAACTCCAATCGACAAAACAGAAATGAAACTTTTTTTGCGTCTGAAATGGAGTTTGAAAGTTTAGTAGGTGAGAAACGATAGAAAAGAGAAGAAAAGAGAGAGAAGGAGGGACGGAAAAAGACGAGGTCAGAGAGACGAGGGGCAAAGAACCACAAGAATTGGACGGAAAGAGGAGAGAGAGAGAACGAGGGATCGGTCAGAAGAGTGAAAGTAATGACATCAGACGGAATAATGGAGGAATGTGGAAAGAGGGAAGAGAGAGAGAAAGAAAAGAGAGAGAGAGAGAGAAACCACAAGAATGATGGAAAGAGAAAGACGAAGTGAGAGAAGAACGATGTGGTCAGTTGGTAGAAGAGTTAGAAGAACCGCAAGAACTGGAAAAGAGGGGAGGAAAAGAGAGAGAGTAAGGAGAAAAAGAAGAGAGAGAGAGAGAGAGGGGAGGAGAGAGAGATCGGTGAAGAAGTTTAGAGATATCACAAGAGAAATAAAGGGAGGAAGAGAGAGAAAGAGGAGGAGAGAATGGTCACGATGAGTTGGTGAAGATGGGAAGAGGAGAGAGAAAAGGGGGAAGAGAGAGAAAAAGGGGGTAGGAGAGAGAGGGAAAGAAAAACAGGGTAGGAGAGAGAAAGAGAAAGAAAACGGGGTAGGAGAGAAAAAAAAGAGGAAGAGAGAAAAGGGGTAGGAGAGAGAGAGAAAGAAAAACAGGGTAGGAGAGAGAAAGAAAGAAGAGGGGAAGAGAGAGAAAAAGGGGGTAGGAGAGAGAGAGAAAGAAGAGAGGAAGACCGAAAGAAAGAGGGTAGGAGAAAGAAAGAAAAATGGGTAGGAGAGAGAAAGAAAGAGGGGAAGAGAGAGAAAGAGAAAGGAGTAGGAGAGAGGGAGAAAGTGGAGGGGAAGAGAGAAAAAAAGGGGTTATGAGAGAGGAAGAAGAGGGAGATAAATGGGAGAAGAGAGAGAGAGGAGGATAGAGAGAAAGGGGGTGGAAGAGAGGAAGAAAAGGAGGAAGAGAGAGAGAAAAATGGGGTAGGAGAGAACAAGAGAGGGGAAGAGAAAGAAAAAGGGGGTAGGAGAGAAAGAAAAGGGGAAGAGTGAGAAAGGGGGAGAGAGAGAGAGAGAGAAAGAAAAGAGGGGAATAGAGAAAGAGGTGGAGAGAGTAGTTGTGATATGAGCTTGTAAAGATGGAAAGAGGAGAGAAAAAGAGGGAGGAAGAGCGAAAGGGGAGAAGAGAGAGAGAGAAAGAGGAAAGAGAAAGAGGGGTGAGAGAGAGAAAGAGGAGAGGAAGAGAGGGGGGATGTGAGAGAAAGCAGGGGGAGAGAAAGACGAGAGAAGAGAGAGAAAGAAAAAGGGGGTAGGAGAGAAAGAGGAGAGAGAAAGTGGGGTGAGGGAGAGAAAGACGGGGGAGAGAGAGAGAGATGGAGGAGGGGAGAAAGAGGAGGGAAGAGAGAGAGAAAGAGGAAAGAGAAAGAGGAGGGAAGAGAGAAAGACGAGAGAAGAGAGAGAAAGAAAAAGGGGGTAGGAGAGAAAGAGGAGAGATAAAGTGGGGTGAGAGAGAGAAAGACGGGGGAGAGAAAGAGGAGGGAAGAGAGAGAGAGAAAGACGAGAAGAAGAGAGAGAAAGAAAAGGGGGGTTGGAGAGAAAGAGGGAAGAGAGAGAGAAAGAGGAGGGGGGACAAAAAGGGGAGAAGCGAGGGAGAGAAAGGGGGTGAAGAGAGAGAATGGGGGAGAGAAAGAGGGAAGCGAGAAAGAATAGGGAAGAGAGAGAGAGAGAGAAAGAGAGGAGAGAAAGAAGGGAGAGAAGAGAGGAGAGAATGTTCATGATACGAGTTGGTAAAGATGGAAAGACGAGAGAGAGAAAGAAAGGGGGAGACGGTGGTCATGATTTGAGTTGGAAAATATGAAAAGGAGGAGAGAGAGAGAGAAGGACAGAAGCGAGGGAAGAGAAGGAGGAGGAGAGAGAAAAGAGGTGAGAGTGGTCAGGGCAAAGAGGGTGACACGAACCACATGATATGGGCTGGAAAATGTGGGAAGAGAGAAAAGAAGAGAAGGAGAGAGAGGAGAGAGAGAGAGAGAGAGTGAGAGGTCAGTGGTCAGTGGTCTCGTAACAGGCCAAAACCAGAAGAATTTGGTGCAGCCGGATCCAGAGAAAAAAAAAAAACAGAGAGAGAGAAAAAGATGGAACAGAGTCGGTGAAAGATTCTCTCAAACTCCACCAGAAAAATCCAAACACGAAACAAACGCGGAGTCGAAACACGTCACGGAAACGACTTCATTATTGTGACTCAAATAAAAGATTCAACGAGTGAAATTGGGCAGAAACAAAACTCAGAAAATATTTACAATCTCAGGTTTTCAAATCAAATATTTTGGAATAATAAATAAAAGTTGGTTGACAAAACAAAACAAAATAAATAAATAAACGGCAAAATCTGCGACTCCTGTTTTGTTCGAAAGAGAAAATTAGAAAATGTCAAAACATAAATTTTACTCATCAAAACTGTGAAAATGTTTTAGTCCTGGTTTAGTCCTGGTTTAGTCCTCATTCAGTCTCGTTTTAGTCCTGTTTTAGTCCTAGTTCAGTCCTGGGTTCAGTCCTAGTTTAGTTCTGTTTTAGTCCCGTTTTAGTCCCGGTTTACTCCTGGTTCAGTCCTGGTTTAGTCCTAGTTTAGTCCTGTTTTAGTCCTGGTTTAGTCCTGGTTTAGTCCTGTTTTAGTCCCGTTTTAGTCCCGTTTTAGTCCTGGTTCAGTCCTGGTTCAGTCCTGGTTCAGTCCTGGTTTAGTCCTGGTTTAGTTCTGGTTTAGTCCTGGTTCAGACCTGATTTAGTCCTGTTTTAGTCCTAGTTCAGTCCTGGGTTCAGTCCGGGTTCAGTCCTGTTTTAGTCCCGTTTTAATCCTGGTTTAGTCCCGTTTTAGTCCCGGTTTAGTCCTGGTTCAGTCCTGTTTTAGTCCTGGTTCAGTCCCGTTTTAGTCCTGGTTTAGTTCTGTTTTAGTCCTGTTTTAGTCCTAGTTTAGTCCTGTTTTAGTTCTGTTTTAGTCCTGGTTTAGTCCCGTTTTAGTCCTAGTTTAGTCCTGTTTTAGTCCTAGTTTAGTCCTGGTTTAGTCCTAGTTTAGTCCTGTTTTAGTCCTAGTTTAGTCCTGGTTTAGTCCTGGTTTAGTCCTGTTTTAGTCCTAGTTTAGTCCTGTTTAGTCCTGTTTTAGTCCTGTTTTAGTTTAGTCCTAGTTTTAGTCCTGTTTTAGTCCTAGTTTAGTCCTAGTTTTTAGTCCTGGTTCCGTCCTGTTTTAGTCCTAGTTTTCCTAGTCCTGTTTTAGTCCTGTTTTAGTCCTAGTTTTTAGTCCTGTTTAGTTTTAGTCCTAGTCCTTTTAGTCCTGTTTAGTCCTAGTTTAGTTTTAGTCCTTTAGTCCTGTTTTAGTCCTGTTTTAGTCCGTTTTAGTCCTAGTTTTAGTCCTGTTTAGTCCTGTTTTAGTCCTGTTTTAGTCCTGTTTTAGTCCTAGTTTAGTCCTGTTTTAGTCCTAGTTCAGTCCTGTTTTAGTCCTGGTTCAGTTCTGTGAAGTGATGTTGTATTTTTGAGTCGAGTCTGTGAATTCATGTTCGTACTGGATAAATTGTAATCATCATAAATTTTCATTTGGTGATTTTAATTCTTGTCGCTGTAACTTCTAACTTCATATTCTGATGATAAAACAACACAACACATTTTATGTTCGACTCGACTCATTCCAGAGTTTATGAATATTTATTTTACACTCAACTACAAACAAATACGCACAGATTTTTATCCTCTGAACGTGAATATTTCTGAAAACTTCTTACTCCATTGTCGATGTTGTGTCTGTTCTTCGTGTTCACTTTTTGTCCCGTCTCTCCTCCCGTAGTGTGGTGCCTCTGCTCAAAGAATCTATCGGCATCCTGATGCAGAGAACCCCCCCGTCTTTAGACCACGCCCTCCCCGAGTGCTATCAACGAGTGAGTACTGCACTACCCATAATGCCCTGCCTGAGTATTATTAAAGAGTGAGAACTACACTACCCATAATGCCCTGCCCGAGTGTTATTAAAGAGTGAGTACTACACTACCCATAATGCCCTGCCCGAGTGTTATTAAAGAGTGAGTACTACACTACCCATAATGCCCTGCCCGAGTGTTATAAGAGTGAGTACTACACTACCCATAATGCCCTGCCCGAGTGTTATCAGAGTGAGTACTACACTACCCATAATGCCCTGCCCGAGTGTTATTAAAGAGTGAGAACTACACTACCCATAATGCCCTGCCTGAGTGTTATTAAAGAGTGAGAACTACACTACCCATAATGCCCTGCCTGAGTATTATTAAAGAGTGAGTACTACACTACCCATAATGCCCTGCCCTGAGTTATTAAAGAGTGAGTACTACACTACCCATAATGCCCTGCCCGAGTATTATTAAAGAGTGAGTACTACACTACCCATAATGCCCATAATGCCCTGCCGAGTATTATTAAAGAGTGAGAACTACACTACCCATAATGCCCTGCCTGAGTATTATCAGAGTACTACACTACCCATAATGCCCTGCCTGAGTATTATTAAAGAGTGAGAACTACACTACCCATAATGCCCTGCCTGAGTATTATTAAAGAGTGAGTACTACACTACCCATAATGCCCTGCCCGAGTATTATTAAAGAGTGAGTACTACACTACCCATAATGCCCTGCCTGAGTATTATTAAAGAGTGAGTACTACACTACCCATAATGCCCTGCCTGAGTATTATTAAAGAGTGAGAACTACACTACCCATAATGCCCTGCCTGAGTATTATTAAAGAGTGAGTACTACACTACCCATAATGCCCTGCCTGAGTATTATTAAAGAGTGAGTACTACACTACCCATAATGCCCTGCCTGAGTATTATTAAAGAGTGAGAACTACACTACCCATAATGCCCTGCCCGAGTATTATTAAAGAGTGAGTACTACACTACCCATAATGCCCTGCCTGAGTATTATTAAAGAGTGAGAACTACACTACCCATAATGCCCTGCCTGAGTATTATTAAAGAGTGAGTACTACACTACCCATAATGCCCTGCCTGAGTATTATTAAAGAGTGAGAACTACACTACCCATAATGCCCTGCCTGAGTATTATTAAAGAGTGAGAACTACACTACCCATAATGCCCTGCCTGAGTATTATTAAAGAGTGAGTACTACACTACCCATAATGCCCTGCCTGAGTATTATTAATGATTATAGCTAATACATAAAGAACTACATTTCCCATGATGCTGTGATTTATCAGAACAAACAATGCCAGGCAGTTAGAGCCGCAAGCGACATTGAAGGGCCCCTTACCACCACTAAACCGGTTGTTTGGTTCTGTACATTTATTGGAAAAAAGATAATTTTCTTAATAAAAAAAAGAAGTTAAATGTTAGATAGGCTTAATTACAGGCCAAATTTATTTGTTTTATAATTTTTTTCCCCCTTTCTCCCTGTCTTGTCCTCAGCTGTTATAATGTAATAATATAATGTTCCATCATCAAAAATATCCCAAGAGGTTTTAGAGTTATTTTTATTATGTTTATTTTAAGTTAAATATATGAGCCCGGCATTTGTGTTAACTCCACATTTAACTGCTAAAAGAAATTAACGGGATTTTTATTTTGATACTTTTTTAACTCTGTTTATCTTAAATGAAGGAAGAGTAACAGATAATATTTTAAGTTTCTTGTGAGTAAAATAATGAAACTAAAGTCAAACTAAGGACTAGATAATGACTGATATGAATTTGGTGACCTCTGACCCTTGCCCTGTGCCCCCCCCCCTCAGGTGCAGCAGCTCCAGGGCGTGTATAACCTGCAGGACCCTCACTTCTGGACCCTGTGCACGGACGTTTACATCGGCACCATCAAACTCCTGGTGTCTCCAGACGCAGACACCAGATGGATACAGAGCCAAGCGCACAATATATTCACACAGGTACGAAACGAAACGACACGACGTCAGGCTGGGGGGGGGACTCTACGTGTATGCCTATGACAGAATGTTCAGCAGTTACCAGAGTGACACGACGAACAAAACGTGTTGAGATGATCTGAAAAGAAAAACAATACACAATGGAAGAAATAAAATGTGTGGATGTCCAAACACCGTGAACGTTTTCTGCTCTTAACAACACAAATGTGAGTATTTTAAACCACAAAAAATCTACAAACGCACACAAAAACATAAAAAAAACTCAAATGTTGTGTGCAGATTATTGATCTTTTCCAGCACAGACTGACCTGCTCTGTAGTTATCGGAAAAGGACAAAATGTGTGTTTTTATCAACACAATATTAGTTTTTTATGATAAGAAACTGCATTTAAAGAGTTGAAATCATTAAAAAAATCTAAATAGTTTATACCAAAATGTAGAGCAAAAGTGTCCGAAAAGAATGAGCCCAAAACGGTCAAATAAAATTAAAAAAAAGTTCCTGGATGTTCAAAAACTGCACATTTTCTGCTCTTAATGAGGCGATAGTGAAAAACTGATGAACTCGGTGAACTGATTAACTGATCCTCTGCTGCGGTCGATGAGCAGAGAGTTTAAACATTCTCCAAAAAACCACATCCACACAAAACCTCACTAAAACTTCTCCAAAAACCTCGCCAAAACCTCACCAAATCTCTCATGCTGTTTGCCTGAACGTGCCCAAAATGATGAACCGATGAAAAGTCCAAAGCTCTAAAAATGTCAGAGGGTTAAAGGAGCAGAACTCAGAGACTGAAGCTGTTTTAATAAAATCTCCCAGTGTTTATAAAGTTTGATTCTGATCCGACTGAACTTTATAAAAACATGTCCAAGAGTTTTAATGTTTGACTAAAGACTCAGATCTGAACGAGATGAGGAGAATCCCAGAGCAGTATTGAGTTTCAGAACAGTAGAGGTTTAAAGTAAAGGTTTTACTGTGTCAAACTGGAACCTGACTCTAAAGAGAAGTGAAAAACCTGGGTTAGACCTGGTTTAGTCCAGATTTAGACCTGGTTTAGACCCAGGTTAGTCCAGATTTAGACCTGGGTTAGACCCAGGTTAGTCTAGATTTAGACGAGGTTTAGACCTGATTTAGACCTAGTTTAGTCCAAATTTAGACCTGGTTTACACCTGGGTTAGTGCAGATTTAGACCTGGTTTAGGCCTTGTTTAGTCCAGATTTAGACCTGGGTTAGTCCAGATTTAGACCTGGGTTAGTCCAGATTTAGACCTGGGTTAGTCCAGATTTAGACCCTGGTTTAAACCTAGGTTAATACAGATTTAGATCCTGGGTTAGACCTGGGTTAGGCCTGGTTTAGTCCAAACTTAGGCCTGATTTAAACCTGGGTTAGTTCAGATATAGACCCTGGTTTAGACCTGGTTTAGACCTGGGTTAGGCCTGGTTTAGTCCAGATTTAGATCTGATTTAGACCTAGTTTAGTCCAGATTTATACCTGGATTAAACCTAGGTTAGTGCAGATTTAGACCTGGTTTAGTCCATCTTTAGTCCAGATTTAGACCCGGTTTAGCCCAGATTTTAAGCCTGTTTTAGACTTAGTTTAGAACTGGTTTAGACCTGGTTTAGTCCAGCTTTAATCTAGATTTAGACTTGGTTTAGTCCAGATTTAGACCTGTTTTAGTCCAGATTTAGACCCTGTTTTAGACCTGGTTTAATCCAGATTTAGACCTGTTTTAGATCTAGTTTAGACCTGGTTTAGACCTTGTTTAGTCCAGATTTAGACCTTGTTTAGTCCAGATTTAGACCTGCAGATGGAAAGGAGCTTGGAGCTAAATCTATCAGAGCCTCTTTCTTCAGAGATGTTTTCTGTGCACTGTGTCCTTGTTTTAAACAAATAAAATAAGATTTAGGACACGTTTACAATAAACCCGAGACTAAACCTGGACTAGACCAGAACTATACCAGGACCAGTGTGAACACGGCCTTGGACCTGGTTTTCCACAGAACAAGACCCAGACACTTGGACTTTGTGAACAGTTTATGATTTAAATATGAAGCGTCTCTGATCTTTTCTGACGTCGTTTCCTCGTCACAAACAGAACCGGACGTGTGTTTTGTTTCACTCACACGTGTTTATCTCACAAACTCTAATAATACAGATTTAAACAAACACGTGTGAATGAAACAGAACGCAGGTGCAGGTCTGTTGGGTTTGTTTGTGACGAGGGAGCGGCGTTACAACTTGGTTTAAAGTTCATGTGAGTCCATTAGTGAGACGTCGGAGCTTTTATCTGTGACGGATGGAGCTGCTGTTGGACGTCGTATCGCGGTCGTATTTGGAGCTTTTAAAATCTGTAATGTGATTATTTGTGCCGCACTCGATCATCTCTGCAGCTCGTCTGGAAAAAAAAAAAAACACCACCCACCAAATCCATAAACTGTGAGATGGAAACAGGTCCACGGCCAAAGTCTGAGGTTTGTTTATGCAGCTCAGACTTTAAACAGAACCTGTTCAGAACAGAAGAGCAGCTCTGATACAGACCTGCTCTAGACCTGCCCTAGTCCTGCTCTAGACCTGCTCTAGTCCTGCTCTAGTCCTGCTCTAGTCCTGCTCTAGTCCTGCTCTAGTCCTGCTCTAGTCCTGGTTTAGACCTGCTCTAGACCTGCTCTAGTCCTGCTCAAGACCTGCTCTAGTCCTGCTGTAGACCTGCTCTAGACCTGCTCTAGTCCTGGTTTAGACCTGCTCTAGACCTGCTCTAGTCCTGCTCTAGTCCTGCTCTAGTCCTGCTCTAGTCCTGCTCTAGTCCTGCTCTAGTCCTGCTCTAGTCCTGCTCTAGTCCTGCTCTAGTCCTGCTCTAGACCTGCTCTAGACCTGCTCTAGTCCTGGTTCTAGACCTGCTCTAGACCTGCTCTAGACCTGCTCTAGTCCTGCTCTAGACCTGCTCTAGTCCTGCTCTAGACCTGCTCTAGACCTGCTCTAGTCCTGGTTTAGACCTGCTCTAGTCCTGCTCTAGACCTGCTCTAGACCTGCTCTAGTCCTGGTTTAGACCTGCTCTAGTCCTGCTCTAGTCCTGCTCTAGTCCTGGTTTAGACCTGCTCTAGACCTGCTCTAGTCCTGCTCAAGACCTGCTCTAGTCCTGCTGTAGACCTGCTCTAGACCTGCTCTAGTCCTGGTTTAGACCTGCTCTAGACCTGCTCTAGTCCTGCTCTAGTCCTGCTCTAGTCCTGCTCTAGTCCTGCTCTAGTCTCTAGCTCTAGTCCTGCTCTAGACCTGCTCTAGTCCTGGTTTAGACCTGCTCTAGACCTGCTCTAGTCCTGCTCTAGACCTGCTCTAGTCCTGCTCTAGACCTGCTCTAGTCCTGGTTTAGACCTGCTCTAGTCCTGCTCTAGACCTGCTCTAGACCTGCTCTAGTCCTGGTTTAGACCTGCTCTAGTCCTGCTCTAGTCCTGCTCTAGTCCTGGTTTAGACCTGCTCTAGACCTGCTCTAGTCCTGCTCAAGACCTGCTCTAGTCCTGCTGTAGACCTGCTCTAGACCTGCTCTAGTCCTGGTTTAGACCTGCTCTAGACCTGGTTTAGACCTGCTCTAGACCTGCTCTAGACCTGCTCTAGTCCTGGTTTAGACCTGCTCTAGTCCTGCTCTAGTCCTGCTCTAGTCCTGCTCTAGTCCTGCTCTAGACCTGCTCTAGACCTGCTCTAGTCCTGGTTTAGACCTGCTCTAGACCTGCTCTAGTCCTGCTCAAGACCTGCTCTAGTCCTGCTGTAGACCTGCTCTAGACCTGCTCTAGTCCTGGTTTAGACCTGCTCTAGACCTGGTTTAGACCTGCTCTAGACCTGCTCTAGACCTGCTCTAGTCCTGGTTTAGACCTGCTCTAGTCCTGCTCAAGACCTGCTCTAGTCCTGCTCTAGTCCTGCTCTAGTCCTGCTCTAGTCCTGCTCTAGACCTGCTCTAGACCTGCTCTAGTCCTGGTTTAGACCTGCTCTAGACCTGGTTTAGACCTGCTCTAGACCTGGTTTAGACCTGCTCTCGACCTGCTCTAGTCCTGCTCTAGTCCTGGTTTAGACCTGCTCTAGTCCTGGTTTAGACCTGCTCTAGTCCTGCTCTAGTCCTGCTCTAGTCCTGCTCTAGTCCTGCCCTAGTCCTGCTCTAGTCCTGCTCTAGTCCTGATTTAGACCTGCTCAAGACCTGCTCTAGTCCTGCTCTAGTCCTGCTCTAGTCCTGGTTTAGACCTGCTCTAGTCCTGCTTTAGTCCTGCTCTAGACCTGCTCAAGTCCTGCTCGAGTCCTGCTCTAGTCCTGCTCGAGACCTGCTCTAGTCCTGGTTTAGACCTGCTCTAGACCTGCTCTAGTCCTGGTTTAGACCTGGTTTAGACCTGCTCAAGACCTGCTCTAGTCCTGCTCGAGACCTGCTCTAGTCCTGGTTTAGACCTGCTCTAGACCTGCTCGAGTCCTGGTTTAGACCTGGTTTAGACCTGCTCAAGACCTGCTCTAGTCCTGCTCTAGTCCTGCTCTAGTCCTGCTCTAGACCTGCTCGAGTCCTGCTCGAGTCCTGCTCGAGACCTGCTCTAGTCCTGGTTTAGACCTGCTCTAGACCTGCTCGAGTCCTGGTTTAGACCTGGTTTAGACCTGCTCTAGTCCTGGTTTAGACCTGGTTTAGACCTGGTTTAGACCTGCTCAAGACCTGCTCTAGTCCTGGTTTAGACCTGCTCAAGACCTGCTCTAGTCCTGGTTTAGACCTGCTCTAGTCCTGCTCTAGTCCTGCTCGAGACCTGCTCGAGACCTGCTCTAGACCTGGTTTAGACCTGGTTTAGACCTGCTCTAGTCCTGGTTTAGACCTGGTTTAGACCTGGTTTAGATCTACTTTAGTCCCAGTTCAGACTTGGCCCTCTGTATGTGAGTCCCCGTTAAACCAGATGCCCTTCAGGAGTCTCTGGGTGAACTGTTTGGGCTGGAAGCTCCTGAGATACAACAACACTGAGACTAAAACTGGACTAAAACTGGACTAGGACTGGACTAGGACTGGACTAGGACTGGACTAGGACTGGACTAAAACTGGACTAGGACTGGACTAGGACTGGACTAGGACTGGAAGAGACAAGAAGAGTCAGATGTGAGAACTGGACGAGAACTGAACTAGAACTGTTAGAAAACTGGACTAGAACCGGACTCGAACCGGACTTGAGCTAGATTAGAACTGGACTCGAGCTAGATTAGAACTGGACTCGAACCGGACTCGAGGTAGATTAGAAGTGGACTCGAACCGGACTCGAGGTAGATTAGAAGTGGACTCCAACTGGACTCCAACTGGACTCCAACCGGACTCGAGCTGGACTCAAACCGGACTTGAAATAAACCAGAACTAGACTAGAACTGGATGAGAACTGGGCTAGAAATAAACTAGAACCGGACTTGACCTGGACTTGGCCATAAACTGGACTAGACCAGGACTGAATCTGGACTAACCCTGGACTAACCCTGGACTAACCCTGGACTAACCCTGGACTAACCCTGGACTAACCCTGGACTAACCCGCTCTGTGTCTCTGTGTCTGTGTTTGTCTCCAGGCGGGCGTCCGGCAGCTCTACGTTCAGATCGACGTCGCCGCCATGTGAAGCTCCGCCCCCCCTTCCTCCCGTTGGACCAAAGCCTGACCTTTGACCCGCGCTGAGCCGGGGCGGGGCCGGACTCTCGGGAGGTCACGTGATCGGGTGGGAGGGGCTTAAACTGTGACGGACTCCGAGGCTCCTCCCACTCTCCCGTTTCTGTTCCCGTTTGACGCAGGAACGAGTTTGGATTTTTAAAGCGGCGACGTCGGGAGAAAATCTGAAAACGTGAACGGAAGTCGACGAGAAAAAAACAGATTTTAATTGAGACATAAAGTGAATATTTTTATTTCAGTCTAATTTTCATCTTTTTACTTAAGATTTCTTTTTTTTTTTTTTTTTTTACTTCAGAAACTTCTCGAGTCTTTTCTAAAACACGCACACATTTAAACTGTACGAAGTGTCTTGCCCAAGGACACACAACAACAACAGAGCAGAGACCAGAGGGAATCAAACTCACAACTTTAACTTTAACTATGAGGAAAACTGAAAAATACCGAGGCACATGAAGTGGACTTCAGGTTTGGGTCTGATAACGATTAGAAGAGGTTTAGTCCAGTTTTAGACCTGGTTTAGACCTGAGTTAGACCTGGTTTGGATCAAATTTAGACATGAGTTTAGACCTGGTTTATATCCGGTTTAGATCCAGTTTTGACCTGGTGTAGAACTGGTTTAGACCTGAGTTTAGACCTGAGTTTAGACCTGAGTTTAGACCTGAGTTTAGACCTGAGTTTAGACCTGGGTTAAGACCTGACTTTAGTCCTGAGTTTAGACCTGGGTTAAGACCTGAGTTTAAACCAGTGTTAGACCTAAATTAGGCCTGAGTTAGGCCTGGTTCTGAGCAGTTTTAAACCAGTTTTAGACCTGGTTTAGACTTGGTTTAGTTCTGGTTTAGACCTGGTTTAGATCTGGTTTAGACTTGGTTTAGTTTTGGATTAGACCTGGTTTAGATCTGGTTTAGACTTGGTTTAGACTTGGTTTAGATCTGGTTTAGATCTGGTTTAGATCTGGTTTAGATCTGGTTTAGATCTGGGTTAGACCTGGTTTAGATCTGGGTTTAGACCTGGTTTAGATCTGGTTTAGACCTGGTTTAGACTTGGTTTAGATCTGGGTTAGACCTGGTTTAAACCTGGTTTAGACTTGGTTTAGACTTGGTTTAGACCTGGTTTAGACCTGGTTTAGACTTGGTTTAGACTTGGTTTAGATCTGGTTTAGACCTGGTTTAGACTTGGTTTAGATCTGGTTTAGACTTGGTTTAGATCTGGTTTAGACCTGGTTTAGACCTGGTTTAGACTTGGTTTAGACTTGGTTTAGACCTGGTTTAGACCTGGTTTAGTTCTGGGTTAGACCTGGTTTAGATCTGGTTTAGACTTGGTTTAGACTTGGTTTAGATCTGGGTTAGACTTGGTTTAGACCTGGTTTAGATCTGGTTTAGATCTGGTTTAGACCTGGTTTAGATCTGGTTTAGACCTGGTTTAGACTTGGTTTAGACCTGGTTTAGACCTGGTTTAGTTCTGGTTTAGACTTGGTTTAGACTTGGTTTAGACCTGGTTTAGACCTGGTTTAGTTCTGGTTTAGTTCTGGTTTACTGCAGAATAAGGAACGTTTACATTTACACTAAACACAAGACTAAACCTGGACCAGACCAGAACTACATCAGGACTAAACCAGGTCAAGTCTGAACACAACCTTGCACCTGATTCAGACCTGGTTTAGTCCAGATTTAGTCCTGGTTTAGTCCTGGGTTAGTCCAGACATAGGATATGTTTACACTTCACACATAAAAATTGGGAGAGACTAAACTCGAGACTAAACCTGGACTAGACCAGAACCACACTAGAACTGGGCTAAACTAAGTGTGAATACAACCTTGGACCTAGGTTAGTCCTGGTTTAGTCCAGATATAGTCCTGGCTTAGACCCGTGTTGGTCCAGACTTAGGATATGTTGATGTTTACTTAACACATAAAACTGGGAGTAAACCTGAGACTAAACCTGGACTAGACCAGAACTCGATCAGGACTAAACACGCCAAGTGTGAACACAAATTTGGACTTGGTTTGGACCTGGTTTAGATCTGGTTTAGACCTGGTTTGGACCTGGTTTAGACCTGGTTTGGACCTGGTTTAGTCCTGGTTTAGACCTGGTTTAGACCTGGTTTGGACCTGGTTTAGACCTGGTTTGGACCTGGTTTAGACCTGGTTTAGTCTTGTTTTTTACTGAAGGTACTAGAGTTTCTCATCTCGGTTATGAAAAACTTTTGAATTGAACAGTTTTATTTTTTGTTGTTGTACGTGGTTTTATTTTAATTAATTTATATTTTTCGTTTTATCAGAAGAATCGTGCGTTTCTTTCCTTTTTTTTCCGTCAGTATCAAAACAAAAGTATTTCATTTTTCTGGAGCTGTGAACCGTCCTCGTCCCGTCGACTTCCGCTCCCGTTCGTCTCTCGTCACCTCAGAGCCACCGCGGGTTCGTTTGGATCGTACGCATCATCAGGGCGGGGGCGGGGCTTCCTCTGGACTCCGCCCCCTCCGGACTCCGCCCCCTTCGGACTCCGCCCCCGGTGCAGTGCATTCTGGGTTAAAAAAAAAGTGCCTTGTTTTTTGTTTTTTGTTTCTTTGTTCAGAGACAATCGAAAGTCGCTCGTGTTTTTATCTGGGACCAATTTTTATTTTGTTTTTACTGTGCCAAAACCATGTGACCAAACGATGAGGTGTGGGTTTGTTCTGTCCACACGCGACCAGATTAAAGATTCACAAACGACAAAGTCCAGACTCCGGGTTTAATTTTATTTATAAAAAAAATATTTACAGGATTATAACACGGAACATTTCAGGAAAAGAGTCGTTTTTATTTGTGTATGAAGTTCCTCTGCACTTTGTGTTTGTGTTTGAGACTTTCTGACCCAAGAGACGAACCAGGACTAGACCGGGACTAAAACAGGACTGAACTGGGACTAAATCAGGGCTAGACCGGGACTAAACCGGGACTGAACTGGGACTAAATCAGGGCTAGACCGGGACTAAACCGGGACTGAGCTAGGACTGAATTAACACTATATCAGAACTAAATAAGGACTGAACCGGGACCAAGCCAGGACCAAACCAGAACTGAACCGGGACCAAGCCAGGACCAAACCAGAACTGAGCCGGGACTGAACCAGGATCCAATGTTAACTGAACCTGGATCGAACCAAGACTGAACTGGGATCGAACTGGGACTAAATAAGGCTTGGACTGGGACTGAACTAGGACTAAACCAGGACTGAACCAGGACTAAATCAGGACTGAACCTGGATCGAACCAGGATCAAACCCAGACTGAACCGGGACTGAACCAGGACTGAATCTGGACCAAACCAGCAATAAACCGGGATTGAGCCAGGACTCAACTTGGATCGAACCGGGACTGAACCAGGACGGAACTGGGACTAAACAAGGCTTAGACTGGGACTGAACCAGGACTGAACCGGGACTAGACCAGGACTAGACCGGGACTAGACCGGGACCGAGCTGGGACTGAACCAGAACTGAACTGGTACTAGATCAGGACTAAACCAGGACTGAACCTGGATCGAACCAGGATTGGACCAGGTCTGAACCAGAAATGGACTGGGACTGAACCAGGACTGAGATGGGACTGAAACTGGACTGAACTGGGATTGAACCGGGTCTAGACTGGGACTAGACCGGGACTGAACCGGGATCAAACTGGGATCAAACCTGGATTGAACCAGGACTAAGCCAGGACCAAACTAGCACTCAACCTGGACTGAAACGGGACTAGACCAGGACTAGACCAGGACTAGACCAGGACTAGACCAGGACTAGACCAGGACTTTGAAAAGGCCTCCAGACGTGTTAAACATTTAAACAGATGTTGAGATTTTCTGAAACTTTAAAACTTTAAACGACATAAAAACAAAAACATTTAACTCAGATTCACAGAAACGTTTCACCACAGAAACACTTCAAATGTGTTTTTAAAAACTTTCTCTGTCACATGATTCTGTGTTTTCAGTTTGAGTTTGAGTTTGACACGGGTCAGAGTCGTTCAGATTAAATGTCTGGTGTGTTATTTCTGACGTGGAGTGTGTTGCTCAAGGGTCGAGGCAGAAGGAAAAGACGTCGTTGTCGGCAGGATTCGAACCTGCGCGGGGAAACCCCAATGGATTTCTAGTCCATCGCCTTAACCACTCGGCCACGACAACACACAAGTACCCACAAATACACACACAAGTACACACAAGTACACACAAGTACACACAAGTACACACAAGTACACACAAGTACACACAAGTACACACACACACACACAAGTACACACAAGTACACACAAGTACACACAAGTACACACACACACACACACAAGTACACACAAGTACACACACACACACACACAAGTACACACAACACACACACAAGTACACACAAGTACACACACACACAAGTACACACACACACACAAGTACACACAAATACACACAAAGTACACACACAACAAGTACACACAAGTACACACACACACACACAAATACACACAAGTACACACAAGTACACACACAAATACACACACAAGTACACACAAGTACACACAAATACACACACACACACACACACAAACAAATACACACACACAAGTACACACACACACACACAAGTACACACAAGTACACACACACAAGTACACACACACACACACACACAAGTACACACACAAGTACACACAAGTACACACACACACAAGTACACACAAGTACACACACAAGTACACACAAGTACACACAAGTACACACAAGTACACACACAAGTACACACACACACACACACACACACAAGTACACACACACACCACACACAAGTACACACACAAAGTACACACAAGTACACACACACAACACACAAGTACACACACAAGTACACACAAGTACACACACAAGTACACACAAGTACACACACACACAGTACACACAAGTACACACAAGTACACACACAAGTACACACAAGTACACACACACACAAGTACACACAAGTACACACACAAGTACACACAAGTACACACAAGTACACACACAGTACACACACACACAAGTACACACAAGTACACACAAGTACACACAAATACACACAAGTACACACACATACACACAAGTACACACAAATACACACAAGTACACACAAGTACACACAAGTACACACAAGTGTACACACACAAGTACACACACACACAACACACACACAAGTACACACACACAACACACACAAGTACACACACACACACAAGTACACACACACACACACACACACAAGTACACACACATACACACAAGTACACACACACAAGTACACACAAGTACACACAAGTACACACAAGTACACACAAGTACACACACACACACAAGTACACACACACGACAACACACACACAAGTACACACAAATACACACAAGTACACACACACACACACACAAGTACACACAGGTACACACATGTACACACAAGTACACACACACACAAGTACACAACACACGCAAGTACACACACAAGTACACACAAGTACACAAGTACACACAAGTACACACAAGTACACACACACACACACACACACACACACACAAGTACACACAAGTACACACAAGTACACACAAGTACACACAAGTACACACACACACAAGTACACACACACAAGTACACACAAGTACACACACACACAAGTACACACAAGTACACACACAAGTACACACAAGTACACACACACACAAGTACACACAAGTACACACACAAGTACACACACACACACACAAGTACACACAAGTACACACACAAGTACACACACAAGTACACACACAAGTACACACACAAGTACACACACACAAGTACACACACAACACACAAGTACACACAAGTACACACAAGTACACACACAAGTACACACAAGTACACACACACACACAAGTACACACAAGTACACACACACACACAAGTACACACAAGTACACACACAAGTACACACACAAGTACACACACACACACAAGTACACACAAGTACACACAAGTACACACAAGTACACACAAGTACACACACACACACAAGTACACACAAGTACACACACAAGTACACACACAGTACACACAAGTACACACACAAGTACACACAAGTACACACACAAGTACACACAAGTACACACACATACACACACACACACACAAGTACACACAAGTACACACACAAGTACACACAAGTACACACACAAGACACACACAAGTACACACAAGTACACACACGGAGAGAGAGAAAGAAAAGGGAGGGAGGGAAGTTAGAGTGAGACAGAGTGAGGGAGGAGAAGAGAGACAAAGGGATGGGGGCTAGAGAGAAGAAAAGGGAAAGAGAGAGAACAAGAAAGAATGAGAGAAAACGAGAAAGAGAGAGAAAGAGAACAAGAAAGAGAGTGAGAGAACGAGAAAGAATAAGAAAACGAGAATTAGAAAGAGGGAGAACGACAGAGAGCAGAGAGAGAGAGGAGCTGTAGCTCAAGTACTACAAGTATTACTACTACTAATACTACTACTACTACTACACACTCCTCAGTGAGGTTCTGAACTAAATGTGAAGCACAAATATTGTGAAGATTCATTATATTTGAAAAAAAACCCCAAAAAAACTCAGTTTTTGTCCCAAGTTGCTGTTTTTTTTCACAGATTCGTCTTTGAGACGTCGGCGGCGAAACGAAGGTCAGTAACATAATTATAAAAACTTTAATAACACGACTAATGAAAGGAAAAAATAAAAACATTACAGGACTAAACCAGAACTGGACCAAGTCTGTTATTTCAGTTTGAGTGTTTTTGATTAAAAAGTGACGTACTGTGGCTTTAAATGTCGTCAGTAAAAATGATCAGTTCAAATCTCAGGTTCAGAGTTTCTCGTTTACACTTTGATTTTTCTTCAGTTTGAGTCAAAAGTCGCAGATCAGAATCACACCAAACATGAACCGTCTCCGTCTCTGGTCTCGTGTTTCTCAAGTGTGTTGCTCAAGGGTCGAGGCAGAAGGAAAAGACATCGTTGTCGGCAGGATTCGAACCTGCGCGGGGAAACCCCAATGGATTTCTAGTCCATCGCCTTAACCACTCGGCCACGACAACACACACACACACAAGTACACACAAGTACACACAAGTACACACAAGTACACACAAGTACACACAAGTACACACACAAGTACACACACACAAGTACACACAAGTACACAGTACACACAAGTACACACACACACAAGTACACACACACACACACACACACACAAGTACACACAAGTACACACAAGTACACACACACACAAGTACACACACACACACAAGTACACACAAGTACACACAAGTACACACACACACACAATACACACACAAGTACACACAAGTACACACACACACACACACACAAGTACACACAAGTACACACACACACACACACACACACAAGTACACACAAGTACACACAAGTACACACACACACACAAGTACACACACACAACACACACAAGTACACACAAGTACACACACACACACACACACACACACACACAAGTACACACAAGTACACACAAGTACACACACACACACACACACAAGTACACACACAAGTACACACACACACACACACACAAGTACACACACACACAAGTACACACAAATACACACAAGTACACACAAGTACACACACACACAAGTACACACACACACACAATACACACACAATACACACAAGGTACACACAAGTACACACAAGTACACACACACACAGAGAGACACACAGACACACACACACACACACACACACAAGTACACACAGACACACAGAGACACACACAAGACGGAGAGAAAGAGAGAAGAGGGGAAAAAAAATAAAAATGTTTGTCTAGTTTAAATTTGCTGAGGTGATTCTGTCGCTGAGCAACAACCACAATGTGAACACAGACTAAACCTGTTTAAATGACACAGTCGTTTCTGATTAGAGTTTTTGAAGTTTTCTGTATTTTGTGTTGTGTGTGCAGGGGCGGAGTTAACAATTCAGGGGCCCTGGGTGACCTTGAGTTTGGGGCCCCCACTATAATGTATTTTTAAAAATATTTATTGTCTGTCTTTTTTTGTTTTGTTCTGGAGACACACACATCTCTATTTGAATTATGGTGGATTGGAAATTTGTCTTATTAGTTCGGTCGCCGACTAGAAAACCAGAACTGATAGTATTTATTTATTTTTTCTCTGGTACATTTACATTTTTGTTTAAATCTATTACATATGATTTTTATTCTGCTGTGATTCTGTTTAAATCAGGGTCAAACGGACGAGTTTGTTCTAATGTGAAAGAGCCGACAGTTTTGCTTTGACAGTTAAAATATGTTTGACAATCAGATAATATTTTGATGTTTTTTTTTTTTTTTTGTTTGTTTAAAAGTAAAACTCCTCTCATTTAATGTCATATTGAGAGAAAATCAAATCACTCTGAGGTCTTGGACATTAGTGACACTGAGGGAAATTGTTTGGGGCCCCTCCAGGTTTGGGGCCCCAAACAGCTGCCTGCGTTTGCCTGATGGTAGCTCCGCCCCTGCTCGTGTGAATTCAGTGTGAATCATGGATCTAAAATAAACTCCAGCTGAAGTCGTCGTCCGTGTGTTTCCAGTAAAAGTGAATAAATCCTGTTTAAGTGAAATGAGACACTTTAACACGTTTAAACACTTTAATATAAAAGTGACTCAGACACTTAGACTTTAAATCTTTATCAGATCTCGTCGTTTCTCGTCGTTTCTTGTTTCTCGTCGTTTCTCGTCGTCGTTCACGAGATGAAGGTGGAGCTGTCGGCCATCCTGAGCCCGTCCAGCGCCCCCTGCTGGGCGTTCACTTTGAGCATGTCCACCTCCAGGGGGTGGAGCCTCCCGGTCACCACCAGCGAATGGAGCGGCTCCCCCAGGTCACATGACGCCAGGTCGCGCAGACGAGCCGAGCGGATCACCTGGTCGTCTGAGCCGAGCCGAGCCACGCCCACGCAGACCGTGTCCTCCGTCAAACCTGCGCAGGAGACAAGACCCACGTCAGGTACGAGAAGAACGACGTCGGGTACGAGAAGAACGACGTCGGGTACGAGAAGAACGACGTCGGGTACGAGAAGATCGACGTCGGGTACGAGAAGAACGACGTCGGGTACGAGAAGAACGACGTCGGGTACGAGAAGAACGACGTCGGGTACGAGAAGAACGACGTCGGGTACGAGAAGATCGAGATTTTAAAAAACACCAAAAAAAACCACAACTGGGTCAATTTACGAATGAACGTTGTCGTGCTCCAAAGTTTTTCCTCATTTTGTTGACAGAATTCAAGAAAGAAAACAGCACATGAACAGCAAGTTAACATTTACTATTTCAGTTATAAGTTACTGTAATTATAAGAGACAAAATATAAATTAAAACAAATTAAATTTAATGTGTAAGTCGTTCATTCCCACAGCTCTAGATCTTTCAAAACATCATGTTGTTCCATAAATTAACCACTCGAGTAGAAATACAATCTTTTTTATGAGTTCTTCTCTTCATGTTCCTCTCAGGTTCTAGTGAGTCTCTGCTCAGGTAAATCCTGTAAACGAGGAGGAAGCAGATGATTCTCGGTTTGTACGTCGCTGCAGCTGTACTCAGGTCGACCAGATCAAAAACCTTAAGTACTTTTAGCTTAACAAAAAGAGGATTTGTCGGTGATTCACATGATTAATAATCCTAATAATCTTGGAGTAAACACATTTAGAAGTATTTCCCCAATATTTCCTCACAGTAGTTTAGATATGGAAGGAATTTTAGCAGCTTTGTCTGAATTATACTTACAGTGATCCCTCGCTATATCGCGCTTCACCTATCGCGGCCTCGCTGCTTCGCGGAATTTTTTACAGTGCTTTATTTTTTACAGTGAATCCTGATTGGCTTAGGGGCGTTACTGTTGTCTAGAAGTGAAAAAGGTTTATATTGGTTTTTCATTACACCCATGCCAACAGTTTTCGTTTCTGTACATTCTGCCAAATTTACGTTCGCAATTTTTCTCCGTGACAAAACCCACAATGTCAAAGAAACGTTTATAAAAATCTTCTTGCTCAGAAAAAGAAAGAGGCCAACAACTACCCATAACGATGTTCTTCTCTCGGAGAAAGACCCCTGCGCAGCCTTCAGTAGAAAAAGACGCTACAGCTACAGGAGTCAGGACGAAGAGGCGCAGCTGGAGGGACTGTGAAATACGCGAGTGACAATGTTTCCTACCTTGTATTCATTACTATATAAAAATATTGTTTTACAACACCGTTCTTTAAACTATTATAGTTATTTGTAAGAAAACGTTAATATTTCTATTTCTTTAACACATGTTGGGCCTGAAAAGAGGTTTTATTTTTTGTTTCATTCTGCAGTTCAGTATTGCATTGTAAAATCACAGTAAAAAATAAAGCTGACTACTTCGCGGATTTCACCTATTGCGGGTTATTTTTGGAACGTATCCCCGCGATAAACGAGGGTTCACTGTATTTGCATTTTCCGGTTACTTTACTTTACTTTCCAATAAAAAGTTTTGGCGTCACCGTTAAAGTCACATTTAAGGTCGAGAAAAATACTTGATGTGCGTCCGTTGCCCTGGAAACAAATGCCAGTTCCCCGAAGGATGAACCAGACTGAGAGACTTGTTTTTTTTTTTTTTTTTTTTTACATAAACACATCAGAGGAGGAGATCGGCTCAGCGTTTGCGGCGTGTTTACATTTATTCTTCACTAATGACTCGGTGTAAATTTCTACGTAGATTTGCTCTCGGGTCTTTCTCTTTCTTCTTTTTCTGAATAATAACATGGCTGAATCACGGGATCGTTGTTCCTGATTGGTTGACACGGCTCGTCCGGCACCTGAACATTCAAGACGCGCCGCAAAAACACAGGACGCCCGAAACACGCGTCCCCAGATTTTACGTGTGAACTGGACGCTGTGACGCTCGGGCTTTAGTGACAAGTCAGGTCTGTGGAGAGGTGAGACCACACAAAAGAATCAAGAGTTTAACATCATCTCAGGCACTCTTTTGGTCCCTCATGTCTTCTCCTCCTCACCCAGCCCCTCCCCTCCTCACCTAGCCCCTCCCTCCTCCTCACCTAGCCCCTCCCCCTCCTCCCCAGCTCCTCCCCTCCTCACCCAGCCCTCCCCTCCTCACCCAAGCCCTCCCCCTCCTCCCCTCCTCCCAGCCCCTCCCCCTCCTCACCTAGCTCCTCCCCCTCCTCTCGTCTCCTCTGGATGATCTGCAGGAGCTGCTCCACCGCCTGAGACACCGACATGAACCGAGGAGGTTCATAGATCTTCCTCCCCCTGAAACAAAACAACTACACAAGTTTTGTCCCGGTTCAGTCCTGGTTTAGTCCTGGTTCAGTCCCTGGTTCAGTCCTGGGTTATTCCCGGTTCAGTCCTGGTTTAGACCTTGTTTTAGTCCTGGTTCAGTCCCGGTTCAGTCCTGGTTTTAGTCCTGGTTCAGTCCTTGGTTTAGTCCTGGTTTAGTCCTGGTTTTTAGTCCTGGTTTAGAGTCCTGTTTAGTCCTGGTTCCAGTCCTGGTTTAAGTCCTGGTTCAGTCCTGGTTTAGTCCTGGTTCAGTCCCGGTTTAGTCCTGCTTTTAGTCCTGGTTTAGTCCTGGTTTAGTCCCAGTCCTGGTTTAGTCCTGGTTTAGTCCTGGTTTAGTTGGTCCTGGTTTTAGTCCAGTCAGTCCTGGTTTAGTCCTGGTTTCAGTCAGGTTTAGTCCTGGTTTAGTCCTGGTTTAGTCCTGGTTCAGTCCCAGTCCTGGTTCAGTCCTGGTTTTGTCCAGGTTTCTGGTTTAGTCCTGGTTTAGTCCTGGTTTAGTCCTGGTTTCAGTCCTGGTTTAGTCCAGTCCTGGTTTAGTCCTGGTTCAGTCCTGGTTAGTCCTGGTTAGTCCTGGTTTCCGTTTAGTCCTGGTTTAGTCCTGGTTTAGTCCTGGTTTAGTCCTGGTTTAGTCCTGGTTTAGTCCTGGTTTAGTCCTGGTTTAGTCCTGGTTTAGTCCTGGTTCAGTCCTGGTTCAGTCCTGGTTTAGTCCTGGTTTAGTTCTCGTACCTCATCATGTTCTCGATCGTTTGCTCCTTCACTTTTATGTCTGAAACCACAACAGATTTTACATTAAATAAAACTAAAAACACCAAACAAACCCACACGCTCGTTTCCATGGAGATGTCAAAGCTCTGCCTGGAATGTTCCAAAGTGCGGCATTTAATCAGACTATTCTATTAAACTGTTCTTCTCAGATCTTTTCTCCGTGTTTTAGTCGTTTCTTCTCTCTGACCCTCTGAAGTTTAGCTGGAAAAAATACTGAATACATTTTTGTACTACTAATATATTTTTTCAATATTTTTTATTCAGTGAGTAATAAACACGACACTAGTGATCATTTCTAGATCAGTGTTATAAACTTGGACTGACATTTCTTGGGAAACAAAGGGTTAAAGTTTGTATGGAGGATTTTTTAGTTTTTGTTTCCAACTGTCATTGAAAGTTTAAAACACCGTTACAGAGACGCAGCAGCTTTGTAATTATGATGAAAAAAAAAAAAAAAAAAAAAAAAAAGGATGAAAATCAATCAACTGTGGACGTGTTGAGGCCAGATAAACATCAGCCAATAGAAAACGAGACTCCCTCATTTTCTATTGGCTGTTGGGTCGTCAATCAAACTCCCTACGTTTCTAGTGTAAGTGACTCGTCGGCGCGCGGGGATTTCGTGGTTTATGCGGCGGTTCTTTGAGGCTTTTTTGAACTGTCTCTTCCTCGCAGTTCGCACAGAGTTTGTCGAGACGGCGGACGAGAATCCACGAGCAGCTCGCCGCAAACCAAAGTCGGTTTTTGAGGTCGCTGAAAGAAGAAGAGAAGAAGGGGAAAAGGAGCGAAGACAAACCGAGGTGATTCTTGGAGATGTCGTCCAGCGATGGCGCGAACGAAGCGGACGAAGGGTCTAAAAACTAAAGACACGTCAGTCGCTGAATTATTTCTAGACAGGTCACTTCAACGGTAATTCTGAACGCGCACTGGATGTAAACAAACGTGATTTCTAGAGTAAAAAGGCGGGAGGAGGAGGTGTTTCTACTGAGGCTGTGGAGGAGGAAGGTGGAGTCACACATGCACAACATTTGAAAAAGAACTGTCGCTGTGTTTCACTTCCCTTAAAAAAATCCTCTATACAACCTTTAATTAATGGAAATGGAAATGGACCAATCACAGTTTTTCTTCCAACTGTATCCGGGTAAATCAGTGACTCCCCCTGCAGCGCTGAACTAAACAAACACCTGCAGGAGCTTCGGTGGCTGGAACGACGACCCGAGCAACTCAAGTCAGTGTGGGGATGAGTTTGAGATTGACAGTTGTCTGAGCCAATCAGATTTCACGGAGTTATGGGCGGGATCAAAACATGACATCATCTTCCGGACCTTCGCGAATACAACGGTGAGAGTAAAAATAATCAAGACGGCAGCGTCCAAAAACCCGCTGGACGCGTCGGGGATGTCAGAGAGAAGAGGAAAGAACGACGAATGATTATTAAAGAAATATAAAAGTAAGCTTCATTTAATTTTTTAATTTATTTTTCTAATAAATGATGTCTTGATAGTCGGTACTTGGTCCTTGTGAAGGTCAAAGGTCCAGGTCCACGGTTCATCACTGTGTTTGAGGAATCTTTAATTTTTATTTCGCAAAGTCGTCTCCAAGACTTGTCGCTTTAAGACGTGTTCACATCGTGCGCGTCGAATCAATTGTCGTTGTCGTGTGCGTTTACGGTCTCGTGTGCGTGGTCGGTCGTCGTGGTGCGTTTATGGTCTCGTGTCGTGGTCGGTCGTCGTGGTGCGTTTATGGTCTCGTGTCGCGGTCGGTCGTCGTGGTGCGTCGGTCGTCGTGCGTGGTCGGTCGGTCGTGTGCGTTTATCTCGTTCCGTCGGTTCGTGTGTCGTCGCGGTGCGTTTACGGTCTCGTGTCGCGTCGTCGTCGCGTGGTGCGTTATGGTCTCGTGTCGCGGTTCGGTCGTGGTCGTGTGCGTTTACGGTCTCGTGTCGCGGTCGGTCGTCGTGGTGCGTTTATGGTCTCGTGTCGCGGTCGGTCGTCGTGGTGCGTTTACGGTCTCGTGTCGCGGTCGGTCGTCGTGGTGCGTTTATGGTCTCGTGTCGCGGTCGGTCGTCGTGGTGCGTTTACGGTCTCGTGTCGCGGTCGGTCGTCGTGGTGCGTTTATGGTCGGTCGTGTCGTCGGTCGTCGTCGCGTCGTGTCGTGTCGTGGTGCGTTTATGGTCTCGTGTCGCGGTCGGTTGTCGTGGTGCGTTTACGGTCTCCTGCTGCGTTTGTTTTTGCAGCGCTCAAACCTCCATCAATCACCTCCAGTCACTTTAACTGAGCCACAATAGAATAGAGACCCAAGAGACCAGACCAGGACTAAACCAGGACTAAACCAGGACTAAACCAGGTCTAAACCAGGTGTCTAAACCAGACTAAACAGGCAGGTCTAAACCAGGTCAGGAAACCAGGTCTAAACAGGACTAAACAGGCAGGACTAAACCAGGACTAAACCAGGACTGAACCAGGACTAAACCAGGACCTAACCCTGAACCTAAAAAACAGGACTAACCAGGACCTGAAAACCAGGGACTGAACCAGGACTGAACCAGGACTGAACCAGGACATTAACCAGGACTAAACCAGGACTAAACCAGACTAAACAGGACAGGACTAAACCAGGACTAAACCAGGCAGGACTAAACCAGGACTTAAACCAGGACTAAACCAGGACTAACCAGACTAAACCAGGAAAAGGAAACCAGACTAAACCAACTAAACCAGGACTAAACCAGGACCAGGACTAAACCAGGACTAAAACCAGGACTAAACCAGGACTAAACCCTAAACAGACTAAACCAGGACTAAACCAGGACTAAACCAGGCTAAAACTAAACCAGGACTGAAACCAGGACTAAACCAGGACTAAACCAGGACTAAACCAGGACTAAACCAGGTCTAAACCAGGACTAACCAGGACTAAACCAGGAAAAAACAGGTCTAAACCAGGTCTAAACCAGGACTAAACCAGGACTAAACCAGGACTAAACCAGACTCTAAACCAGGTCTAAACCAGGACTGAACCAGGACTGAACCAGGTCTAAACCAGGACTAAACCAGGACAGACAGACTAAACCAGGACTAAACCAAAGGTCTAAACCAGGACTAAACCGGACTAAACCAGGACTAAACCAGGACTCTAACCAGGACTAAACCAGACTGAACCAGGGTCTAAACCAGGACTAAACCAGGACTAAACCAGGACTAAACCAGGACTAAACCAGGACTGAACCAGGTCTAAACCAGGACTAAACCAGGTCTAAACCAGGACTAAAACCAGGACTGAACCAGGTCAGGACTAAACCAGGACTAAACCAGGACTAAACCAGGCTAAACCAGGGACTAAACCAGACTAAACCAGACTAAACCAGGACTAAACCAGGACTGAACCAGGTCTAAAACCAGGACTGAACCAGACTGAACCAGGACTAAACCAGGACTAAACCAGGACTAAACCAGGTAAACCAGACTAAACCAGGACTAAACCAGGACTAAACCAGGAACCAGTCTAAACCAGGACTAAACCAGGACTAAACCAGGTCTAAACCAGGACTGAACCAGGACTAAACCAGGTCTAAACCAGGACTGAACCAGGACTAAACCAGGTCTAAAGTGAATAAAATATTTGCCTGTATTTTGAGCTTCTTGATTCTGAATCGTCGTAAATATTTGTTAAATTAAATTTAAATCTTCGGGCGTCGTACACAATTGTAAAAATATGCTAATGAAGCACTTCCTGATATTGTCTGGTCTAAAGCAGGTCTAACCCGGGTCCCTGTGGACCACAAACAGGACCCGTCTAATTAGCCCCCCTCAGGACAGGACCCCCCCGAGTCCCGGTCTGGACCCCGGTCGTGATCCTGACTCGTCCTCTGGGACTGGACTCAGCTGTGAGACTGAACGTGAAATAAACGAGCCGAGACGCGACAGTGAAGGCATCGTTTATCAAGAGTCTCTTAACCTGATGAAGACCAAGACGAAGACCACAGGACCGGGTCTAGACCGGGGTTAGACCGGGGTTAGACCTGGGTTAGACTAGGCATGGTTTAAGTAAAGGTTTAGTCCTGGTTTGTGATCCAGGTTTAGTCCTGGTTAAGTCCTGGTTCAGTCCTGGTTTAGACCTTGTTTAGACCTGGTTCAGTACAGGTTTAGTCCTGGTTCAGTCCTGGTCTAGTCCTGGTTTAGTCCTGATTCAGTCCTGGTTTAGTCCTGGTTCAGTCCTGGTCTAGTCCTGGTCTAGTCCTGGTTCAGTCCTGGTCTAGTCCTGGTTTAGTCCTGGTCTAGTCCTGGTCTAGTCCTGGTTCAGTCCTGGTCTAGTCCTAGTCCTGGTTCAGTCCTGGTCTAGTCCTGGTCTAGTCCTGGTTCAGTCCTGTCCTAGTCCTAGTCCTGGTCTAGTCCTGGTTAGTCCTGGTCAGTCCTGTCTAGTCCTGGTTAGTCCTGGTTAGTCCTGGTTCAGTCCTGGTCTAGTCCTGGTTTAGTCCTGGTTTAGTCCTGGTTCAGTCCTGGTTTAGTCCCTGGTTTCAGTCCGGTCTAGTCCTGGTTAGTCCTGGTTTTTAGTCCGGTTCAGTCCCTGGTTAGTCCTGGTTAGTCCTGGTTCAGTCCTGGTTCAGTCCTGGTTTAGTCCTGGTTCAGTCCTGGTTCAGTCCTGGTTTCAGTCCTGGTCTAGTCCGTTTAGTCCTGGTTCAGTCCTGGTTTAGTCCTGTTTAGTCCTGGTTTAGTCCCGGTTCAGTCCCGGTTTAGTCCGGTTTAGTTCAGTCCGGTTCAGTCCTGGTTTAGTCCTGGTTTAGTCCGGTTTCCCGGTTTAGTCCCGGTTTAGTCCCGGTTTAGTCCTGGTTTAGTCCTGGTTTAGTCCTGATGAAGACCATGATGATGAGGACTGTGTTGTCGTGGTGCGTTCAGGGTCTGCGTGTGTGTGGGATTTTCATGAGTTTCAGATTTATTATTTATCAGTAAAATAAAGTGAAGTCACATCTGAGGAGGAAAAACACAAAAGAACAAACGGATCGAATTATCGTCATGGTCACTGGGACAGAGGACAAAGGACAAGAGGACAAGAGGACAGAGGACAGAGGACAAGAGGACAGAGGACAGAGGACAGAGGACAAGAGGACAAGAGGACAAGAGGACAGTAGGACAGAGGACAGTAGGACAGAGGACAGTAGGACAGTAGGACAGAGGACAGTAGGACAGTAGGACAAGAGACAGAGGACAGAGGACAGAGGACAGAGGACAGTAGGACAGTAGGACAGAGGACAGTAGGACAGAGGACAGAGGACAGAGGACAGTAGGACAGTAGGACAGAGGACAGAGGACAAGAGGACAGTAGGACAGTAGGACAGTAGGACAGTAGGACAGAGGACAGAGGACAGTAGGACAGTAGGACAGTAGGACAAGAGGACAGTAGGACAGAGGACAGTAGGACAGAGGACAGTAGGACAGAGGACAGTAGGACAGTAGGACAGGACAGTAGGACATGAGGACAGTAGGACAGGACAGGACAGTAGGACAGAGGACAGAGGACAGTAGGACAGTAGGACAGTAGGACAGTAGGACAGAGGACAGGACAGTAGGACAGAGGACAGTAGGACAGTAGGACAGTAGGACAGTAGGACATAGGACATGAGGACAGTAGGACAGTAGGACAGTAGGACAGTAGGACAGAGGACAGTAGGACAGTAGGACAGTGAGGACATGAGGACAGTAGGACATGAGGACAGAGGACAGTAGGACAGAGGACAGTAGGACAGGACAGAGGACAGAGGACAGAGGACAGAGGACAGTAGGACAGTAGGACAGTAGGACAGTAGGACATGACATGAGGACAGTAGGACAGAGGACAGAGGACAGAGGGACAGTAGGACAGTAAGACAGGACAGTAGGACAGGAAGTGAGTAGTGAGGACATGAGGACAGTAGGACAGTAGGACAGTAGGACAGTAGGACATGAGGACAGTAGGACAGTAGAGGACAGTAGGACAGTAGGACAGAGGACAGTAGGACAGACAGGACAGTAGGACAGTAGGACAGAGGACAGTAGGACATGAGGACAGAGGACAGTAGGACAGTAGGACATGAGGACAGTAGGACAGTAGGACAGAGGACAGTAGGACAGTAGGACAGAGGACAGAGGACAGAGGACAGTAGGACAGAGGACAGTAGAGGACAAGGACAGAGGACAGTAGGACAGAGGACAGAGGACAGTAGGACAGTAGGACAGTAGGACAGAGGACAGTAGGACAGTAGGACAGAGGACAGTAGGACAGAGGACAGTAGGACAGAGGACAGAGGACAGTAGGACAGAGGACAGTAGGACAGAGGACAGTAGGACAGAGGACAGTAGGACAGTAGGACAGAGGACAGAGGACAGTAGGACAGTAGGACACAGAGGACAGTAGGACAGTAGGACAGAGGACAAGAGGACAGTAGGACATGAGGACAGAGGACAGTAGGACAGTAGGACAGTAGGACAGTAGGACAGAGGACAGTAGGACAGTAGGACAGAGGACAGAGGACAGTAGGACAGTAGGACAGTAGGACAGAGGACAGAGACAGGACAGACAGTAGACGACACAGAGGACAGAGGACAGGACATAGGACAGAGGACAGAGGACAGTAGGACAGAGGACAAGAGGACAGAGGACAGTAGGACAGAGGACAGAGGACAGAGGACAGTGAGGACAGAGGACAGTAGGACAGTAGGACAGTAGGACAGTAGGACAGTAGGACAGTAGGACAGAGGACAGTAGGACAGAGGACAGTAGGACAGTAGGACAGAGGACAGTAGGACAGTAGGACAGAGGACAGGAGGACAAGAGTAGGACAGAGGACAGTAGGACAGAGGACAGTAGGACATGAGGACAGTAGGACATGAGGACAGTAGGACAGAGGACAGTAGGACATGAGGACAGTAGGACATGAGGACAGTAGGACATGAGGACAGTAGGACAGTAGGACAGGAGGACAGTAGGACAGTAGGACAGTAGGACAGAGGACAGTAGGACATGAGGACAGTGAGGACAGTAGGACAGTAGACAGTAGGACAGAGGACAGAGGACAGAGGACAGTAGGACAGTAGGACACAGGTAGGACAGAGGACAGGACAAGTAGGACAGAGGACAGTAGGACAGAGACAGAGGACAGAGGACAGTAGGACAGAGGACAGTAGGACAGAGGACAGAGGACAGTAGGACAGAGGACAGTAGGACAGTGAGGACAGTAGGACATGAGGACAGTAGGACATGAGGACAGAGGACAGTAGGACAGAGGACAGTAGGACAGTAGGACAGTAGGACATTAGGACAGTAGGACAGTAGGACAGGAGGACAGTAGGACAGAGGACAAGAGACAGTAGACAGGACAGTAGGACAGTAGGACAGGGACATGAGACAGAGGACAGTAGGACAGTAGGACAGAGGACAGTAGGACAGGAGGACAGTAGGACATGAGGACAGTAGGACAGTAGGACAGTAGGACAGAGGACAGTAGGACATGAGACATAGGACAGTAGGACAGAGGACAGTAGGACAGAGGACAGAGGACAGTAGGACATGAGGACAGGGACAGTAGGACAGTAGGACATGAGGACAGTAGGACATGAGGACAGTAGGACAGGACATGAGGACAGTAGGACAGTAGGACAGGGACAGAGGACAGAGGACAGTAGGACAGAGACAGGACAGACAGAGGACATGACAGAGACAGGACAGGACAGTAGTAGGACAGAGGACAGTAGGACAAGACAGTAGACACTTGAGGACAGTAGGACAGTAGACATGGACAGGACAGAGACAGGACATGGGGACAGTAGGACAGAGGACAGAGACGTAGACAGAGGACATAGGACAGTAGGACATGAGGACAGTAGGACAGAGGACAGTAGACAGGACATGAGGACAGTAGGACAGTGAGGACAGAGGACAGTAGGACAGAGGACAGAGGACAGAGGACGTAGGACAGAGGACATAGGACAGTAGGACAGTAGGACAGAGGACAGTAGGACAGTAGGACATGAGGACAGTAGGACATGAGGACAGTAGGACAGTAGGACATCTTGACTCACCCAGCAGACACAGCGTGTGCAGACCCATGGCTCGATTTTTACAGATTTTGTCGAAGAAACTTTCAGGTTTCCACGAGTCCGTCCAGAACACGAACGAGACCGTCTCCCCGAAGTTATACAACTGAAACAGACCAGACCTGGTTTAGTCCTGGTTTAGTCCTGGTTTAGTCCTGGTTTAGTCCTGGTTTTAGTCCCTGGTTTGAATTTGGTGTATCCTAGTTTAGGTCAGTCCTGGTTTAGACCCTGATTTAGTCCTGGTTTGGACCTGCTGTAGTCCTAGTTTAGGTTAGTCCTGGTTTAGTCCTGATTTAGTTCTCGTTTAGTCCTGGTTAGTTCTGGTTTTAGTTTAGTCCTGGTTTAGACCTGGTTTAGAGTCCCTGGTTTAGTTTCCTGGTTTAGTCCTGGTTTAGTCCTGGTTTAGTCCTGGTTTAGTTCTGGTTTACCTGGTTTATGGTTTAGTCCTGGTTTAGTCCTGGTTTAGTTTTTAGTCCTGGTTTAGTTTAGTCCTGGTTTAGTTCTGGTTTAGTCCTGTTTAGTTTAGTCCTGGTTTAGTCTGGTTTAGTTCCTGGTTTAGTCCTGGTTTAGTTCTTTTTTAGTCCTGGTTTAGTTTCCTGGTTTAGTCCTGGTTTGGTTTAGTTCTGGTTTAGTTTTTTAGTCCTGGTTTATGGTTTAGTCCTGGTTTAGTTCCTGGTTTAGTCCTGGTTTATGGTTTAGTCTTTTTTAGTCCTGGTTTAGTTCCTGGTTTAGTCCTGGTTTAGTTCTTTGGTTTAATCCTGGTTTAGTTCTGGTTTAGACCTGGTTTAGTTCTTTTTTAGTCCTGGTTTAGTTCTGGTTCAGTCCGGCATTGCAGTTTAAGTCACGTAAAGGGGAAACAGCCGTTAAGTTTTTTCCATTTTTCATTTAAACACAAAATCAAAAACTGAAAAAAAAAACAAATCATTTTCTGTTTTTTCATTTTGGTTTTGGAGACAAATAATGAAGAAAACTGTTCTTTTTTTGGTTTCTTATTTTTGGTTTTATTTTGAAAAACAAATGAACGAATGACACATGGATTAATTTACATGAGTTTTTTTTTTTTAATTCCAAATTAATTGACTGATTCGAGTTTCCATGGAAAAAATAATACTGAATTTAGTTTTTCATGTTAAACTGGTTAAATCGTTTTTATTTAATGTGTCTCAGCGTCTTTATTTGTTCATTTTTCTTCTTTTTTTTATGTTGTTTCTTCTGGACGTGTTTAAAAAATGATCTTTGTAGAGAATAAAAAGATAAATCTGTAGTTCTGTGATGTTTTAGGGGGAGGGGCGTCGTACGGAGCCCTGCACTCTGGGTTTAAAGCTCCCAGCGGAGTCTCATTTGCATGCCCCTCCCCCTCATTTGCATATTAACTGCTCCTCTGTGTGTGCGTATGCTAATGAGGCGAGGAGGACGCCGCGCTGTGATTGGTCGGTTCGGACGCAGTGTTATTGATGTGCTGAGGCGGCGGTGGATGCGTTCGGGGACTCAGTTAAATCCAACGTCCCTGGAGCAGATGGAGTCCAGAGTCCAGAGAGTTTAAGACAATTAGTGATCTGTCCATGTCCCCAGGTCATTATGATAATCACACTAACGACCTACGAAAAACTCTGACTTTCTCCTCTAGTTCTGGTTTATCCGTCCATTTTCTTCAGCTTATCGAGGTCGCGTCTCAGGGACATCAGTCTAAGCAGGGACGACCAGACTCCCTCACCCCAGACACTTCCTCCAGCTCCTCCAGGGGGACCCCGAGGTGTTCCCAGGCCAGTCCAGAGACACAGTCCCTCCAGTGTGTCCTGGGTCTTCCCCAAGCCTCAACTGGCTCCTCTCCACGTGGAGGAGCAGCGGCTCTACTCCGAGCTCCTCACTCTGTCTCTAAGGGAGACGCCCGGTCGCCCTGTGGAGGAAACTCATCTGTGTCTCTTGTATCGTGGATCTGGTCCTTCGGGTCATGACCAGAGGTGAGGGGAGGAACAGAGACTGACGCTAAATCCAGACTCAGCTGATCTTCACCACAACGAAAGATACAGAGACCACATCACTGCCCACGCCGCACCTGTCCACCTGTCAATCTCACACTGCACCTGTCCACCTGTCAATCTGCCCACGCCGCACCTGTCCACCTGTCAATCTCACGCTGCACCTGTCCACCTGTCAATCTGCCCACGCCGCACCTGTCCACCTGTCAATCTCACACTGCACCTGTCCACCTGTCAATCTCACGCTGCACCTGTCCACCTGTCAATCTCCCACGCTGCACCTGTCCACCTGTCAATCTGCCCAACTGCCACACCTGTCCACCTGTCAATCTGCCCACGCTGCACCTGTCCACCTGTCAATCTCACACTCCGTCCTCCTCTGACTCCAGAACAAGACTCCGAGATACTTGAACTCCTCCACTTGGGGCAGAGACTCTCCACCCGGAGACGACGAAACGCCTTTTTCCAGTCGAGAACCAACGGCAAAAGGACGACATCATCTACAAACAGCAGAGACGATCCTGTGCTCCGCAAACCGGACCCTCCGGACCCTGAAATTCTGTCCATAAAAACAATGAACAGAACCGCTGACAGGGGCGACAGGGGCGGCCCTGGCGGAGTCCAACATGCACCGGGAACAGGTCTGACTCACTGCAGAGACACAGCTCCTGCTCCGGTCACACAGGGACCAGACCCCAGACTCGCAGCAGACTCGCAGAGCGCCCCCCACAGGACACACGAGGGACACGGTCCAACACTTCTCCAGATCCACAAAACACATGTGGACTGGTTGGGCAGAGCGAACGATTATAAAGAGTTTTTTTAAGAAAACTGAAGGATTTTGAGCTGAGAAAAAGTTTAGGATCTGAAAACTGGTAAAAATCACCACAAAATCTGACATTTTTGAAAGTTGTCAGTCCCTGTCAACCCCTGTCAACCCCTGTCAACCCCTGTCAACCCCTGTCAGGCAAACATAAACAGTTTGTGTTACTTTTTGCTTTGTGAGAAAAATTCTCTGTGGGACGTTTTTTTTTTTTCGTTGAAGTTTCGGTGAGCGTCTCTGCACCGACTCAAGACAAACACAAACAACAACAGAAACACAGACACAGAGCCGTGACCTGCTCCTGTCTCTGCTCCTGTCTCTGCTCCTGTCTCTGCTCCTGTCTCTGCTCCTGTGTCTGCTGCTCCTGTCTCTGCTCCTGTCTCTGCTCCTGTCTCTCTGTCTCTGCTCCTGTCTCTGCTGTCCTGTCCTGTCTCTGCTCCTGTCTCTGCTCCTGCTCCTGCTCCTGTCTCTGCTCCTGTCTCTGCTCCTGTCTCTGCACCTGTCTCTGCTCCTGTCTCTCTCTGCTCCTGTCTCCTGTCTCTGCTCCTGTCTCTGCACCTGTCTCTGCTCCTGTCTCTGCTCCTGTCTCTGCACCTGTCTCTGCTCCTGTCTCTGCTCCTGTCTCTGCTCCTGTCTCTGCTCCTGTCTCTGCACCTGTCTCTGCTCCTGTCTCTGCTCTGTCTCTGTCTCTGCTCTGTCTCTGCTCCTGTCTCTGCTCCTGTCTCTGCTCTGTCTGTCCTGTCATCTGCTCCTGTCCTGCTCCTGTCTCTGCACTGCTCCTGTCTCTGCTCCTGTCTCTGCACCTGTCTCTGCTCCTGTCTCTGCTCCTGTCTCTGCTCCTGTCTCTGCTCCTGTCTCTGCTCCTGTCTCTGCTCCTGTCTCTGCTCCTGTCTCTGCTCCTGTCTCTGCTCCTGCTCCTGTCTGTCACCTGTCTGTCACCTGTCTGCTCCTGCTCCTGTCTGTCACCTGTCTTTCACCTGTCTGTCACCTGTCTTTCACCCGTCATTCACCTGTCTTTCACCCGTCATTCACCTGTCTGTCACCTGTCATTCACCCGTCTTTCACCTGTCTGTCACCCATCTGTCACCTGTCTTTCACCTGTCATTCACCTGTCATTCACCTGTCATTCACCCGTCTTTCACCTGTCTTTCACCCGTCTTTCACCTGTCATTCACCCGTCTTTCACCTGTCTGTCACCCGTCTTTCACCTGTCTGTCACCTGTCTTTCACCCGTCCGTCACCTGTCTGTCACCTGTCTTTCACCTGTCTTCACCTGTCTTTCACCCGTCTTTCACCTGTCTTTCACCTGTCTGTCACCTGTCTTTCACCCGTCCGTCACCTGTCTGTCACCTGTCTTGTCACCCGTCTTTCACCTGTCTTTCACCTGTCTTTCACCTGTCTTTCACCCGTCCGTCACCTGTCTGTCACCTGTCTTTCACCTGTCTGTCACCTGTCTTGTCACCCGTCTTTCACCTGTCTTTCACCCGTCTTTCACCTGTCTTTCACCCGTCTTTCACCTGTCTGTCACCCGTCTTTCACCCGTCCGTCACCTCTCTGTCACCTGTCTTTCACCCGTCTTTCACCTGTCTTTCACCCGTCTTTCACCTGTCTTTCACCCGTCTTTCACCTGTCTGTCACCCGTCTTTCACCCGTCCGTCACCTCTCTGTCACCTGTCTTTCACCCGTCATTCACCTGTCTTTCACCCGTCTGTCACCTGTCTGTCACCTGTCTTTCACCCGTCTTTCACCTGTCTTTCACCCGTCTTTCACCTGTCTGTCACCTGTCTTTCACCTCTCTGTCACCTGTCATTCACCCGTCTTTCACCTGTCTGTCACCCGTCTTTCACCCGTCCGTCACCTGTCTGTCACCTGTCTGTCACCTGTCATTCACCTGTCATTCACCCGTCTGTCACCTGTCTTTCACCTGTCTGTCACCTGTCTGTCACCCGTCCGTCACCTGTCTTTCACCCGTCCGTCACCTGTCTGTCACCTGTCTTTCACCTGTCTTTCACCCGTCCGTCACCTGTCTGTCACCTGTCTTTCACCCGTCTGTTCACCTGTCTGTCACCTGTCTTTCACCCGTCTGTCACCTGTCTTTCACCTGTCTGTCACCTGTCTGTCACCTGTCATTCACCCGTCTTTCACCTGTCTGTCACCTGTCATTCACCCGTCTGTCACCTGTCTGTCACCTGTCTTTCACCTGTCATTCACCCGTCTGTCACCTGTCTGTCACCCGTCTGTCACCTGTCATTTCACCTGTCAGTCACCTGTCTGTCACCTGTCATTCACCTGGAGTCCGCAGCAGCCGATGCTGTTCATGATGGAGGCGTTGTGAATGACTTTGTAGGGGATCCCAGCCTGAACGGCCCTGAGCACCAGGTCACTGTGAGTCGTGGCTCTGAAAAAACAAAACAAATACAGATTTTAAAACAGAACAGGTGTTTCCAGGTGTTTCACAGGTGTTTCACAGGTGTTTCCAGGTGTTTCCAGGTGTTTCCAGACCATTTGTGAAGTAAAAGAAATGAAAAAACAAAACACTGAGGTTAAATCTGATCTGAGCCAGAGAGAGAGATGGAGAAAAAGAGGAGAGGAGAGAGAGAAGGTGCTGGAAAAGGGAGAGAAAGAGAAGAGATTCACAGAGGGAAAAGAAAGGATGAGGAAGAGAGAGCGATTGATCGAGAGAGACCAAGTAAAAGTAGGAGAAAGAAAAGAGGAGAGAAGTGATGGCGAGTGAAAGGAGAGAGAAGAAAGGAAAGTGAGAGAGGAGAAGACGGAGGAGAGACAAAATAAAGAGAAGAGAGAGAAGAGGAGGAGAGAGAGAGTAGTGGGAAGGGAGGATGATAGAGAGAGGGTGCTGGAAAAGGGGAGAGAAAGAGGAGAGAAGGGAGGACTGATGGAAGGAAGGGCAGAGAAGAGAGAGAGAGAAAAAGAACAGAAGAGATTGAGTGAAAGAAGGAGAAAGAAAAGGAGAGAGAGAGGACAGAAAGAAGGAAAGAGAGAGAGAGAAGGACAGAACGAGAAGGAGAGAGAAAAAGAGAGCAGGACAGAGTGAGAGAAGGAAAGAGAAAAAGAGAGAAGGACAGAGAGAAATAAAGAGAGAGACAAGGACAGAGAGTTAGAAGGGAAGAGAGAAGGAAAGAGAAAAAGAGAGAAGGACAGAGAGGCGAGAGAGAAGGAAAGAGGATAGAGAAGGACAGAGAGAGAAATAAAGAGAGAGAGCAGGACAGAGGAGAGAGAGAAGGAAAGACAAAAAGAGAAGGACAGAGAGAGAGAGAGAAGGACAGAGAGAGAGAGAGAGAGAGGACAGAGAAGGAGAGAAAGAAGGAAAGAGACAAAGAGAGAAGGACAGAGAGGCCAGAGAGAGAGAAGGAAAGAGAGAGAGAGGACAGAGAAAGAGTGAGCAGGAAAGAGAGGAGAGAGAAGAACAGAGAGAGAGAAGGAGAGGGAGAGAGAGTGATGAAAGGGCAGAGAAGAGAGAAAAAGAACAAAAGAGATGAAGTGAAAGCAAGAGAAAAAAAGAGGACAGAGAGAGAGAGATGGATCGGCGGGTGAAAGGAGAAGAGAGAGAGAAAACAGAGAGAATAAAAGGAGGTGTAGAGAGAGAAAACAGAGAGAGTAAAAGGAGGTGTAGAGAGAGAGAGCAGAGTGGAGACGTGGTCATCTCCAGTCTCCTGAGGTCAGAGGTCAGAGGGTCTGAGTGCAGAAGAAGAAGAAGAAGAAGAAGCTGCTGCTGCTGCTGTGGTCGCTCGGAGTCTGTGGGATTTTTCCAGGACTCGTTTCCATGGAGACGTCTCATGTTCTTCTCCTGGATCAAACCGGGTGATTTCACTCCAGAAACTTCCAGCACGAAACGAGAGAAGAAACCACGAGACAAACTGTAATTACAGAACGAAAGAACGAGTCTCTGTCAGAATCTGAACCGGCAGCAGAGGATTCGACCGCAGAAAGTTTACAGACGTGGACGGAGGGAAAGAGACGTCCCCACGGCAACACATCCAGTCAAATGAAGCTCACTGAGGCCTGCAGTCTCTATTCATCACAAGAGACGAATCAAGAAGACGTTTGGAAACATGTGGTGACAGCTTCCGGCGGGTTCTGTTTGTGGTAGAGCCCGACCGATATATCGGTTGGCCGATATTATCGGCTGATATGGGCACCTGGAGGCATATCGGCTATCGGCCGATATGCTTGCTGATATGGGCCGATATTTCACGTGGGCATGTTATACCTCGTTATAAAGCTTAGACTCTCTACATTCTGTTCATTTAATCCAATTTACAGACAGATAAATGTCCTAATATGTGGCTCCACATCAGTATTTATCTACGGAGTCATTTGTCTGTGTGTGTCGTACTGTCCCTGAACACACCACAGAGTCACGTGTGTTTGTTTACACCTGCAGACACAGATCCAAACACTGAGATTATTTTCTTTTTACGGACAATCGGTTTGAGTCTGGATTAAAAGGACATTTATTAGTGCAGATTTGTGATGTGGGAGGAGCCTGTGTGAGCGGTGAGTGTTGGAAATATGTCGACTCTGAAGCTAGTTTTTGTCATTTGTTATGGGTTAGCTGCTGTAGCTCCCGCACATAAACAGACTGTTTTCTATTGGTTTGTTCTAAAGTGATTATATTGTTTCGTATATTTGCTACTGGACCTGCACTGATGTAAATGAGCTGTGAACAGACGTGTGAATTATGACATTTGCACATATAATTAATTACCGCGGCGCGCACGTATTTACGGCTAAAGGCTAATAGCGCTACTTTCTTTACTAGTTATGGGTCGGTCGCGAACGAAATGACTCTTAGAACCGACTCTTTGAAGGGAACGACGGGAGCCTGATCCTTATTGGGAGCCGTGTTTTCTCTTTCTCTCACTTTTTTTCTCTTCACGCCGCGTGCAGATTCGTGGTTTGACAGCGGCAGCGGCTAAAAACGAAACTTTGAGAAATTTGCGTGTACGTAGGATTAAAAAAAAAAAAAAGAGCATAGACAGTTTAAAATAAAGTCCCGGTTTAGTCCTTTTTCAGTCCTGGTTCAGTCCTGCTTTAGTCCTGCTTGCAACAAAACAATCTGAAGAGCCACTTGGGAGCCAAAAGAACCAGCAGCTTTTAGTGAGTCGAGCCAAAAGAGCCGGTTCTCTAAAAAGAACTGGAATAAACATCACTAGTGTCTAGAATGTGATGCAAAAATGCCATTAGTCCAACTGTCTGTAAATATGATGTAAAGAGGCAGAATAACAATAAATGTTGCCTAAATAAACCCAATTTAAAATCCACCAGAGCCAAACCTAAGTTTTTTAAACAATTCAACATTTACAGTGAATTTTTACATCACTAAATATATCGGCGATTATATCGGCAGCTCCAACTCCCATTATATCGGTTTCATATCGGCCACAACAAAATCCATATCGGTCGGGCTCTAGTTTGTGGTCGTAAATATTGTTGTAGTATGAAAAAAAATGGTCTTGAAGTCGGTCGAAAGACTAAGAACAGCTTCGAGACAGGTTTTTTTAAGCGGTCTTGGTCTTGTCTTGGACTCAACCGCGTTTGGACTCAGTCTTGTCTCGGTCTTGAAAGCTTTTGGACTTGGTCTGGTCTCGGACTCGGTCTGGTCTCGAGACCAAGAACGGCCTAGAGACCACTTTTTTGCGGTGTTGGTCTCATCTCAGACTCAAGCACACTTGGACTCGGTCTTGTCTCGGTCTTAGTCTTGTCTCGGTCTTGAAGGTGCTTGGACTCTGTCTTGTCTCAGTCTCAAAATGTTTGGACTCGGTCTTGTCTCGGTCTTGAAGGTCTTGGACTCTTGTCTCTTGGTCTTGAAGGTCTTGGACTCGGTCTGTTCTCTTGGACTCGGTCTTGTCTCGGTCTTGAAGGTGCTTGGACTCGGTCTCGTCTCGGTCTTGAAGGTGCTTGGACTCGGTCTCGTCTCGGTCTTGAAGGTGCTTGGACTCGTCTCGTCTCGGTCTTGAAGGCGCTTGACTCGGTCTCGTCTCGGTCTTGAAGGCGCTTGGACTCGGTCTCGTCTCGGTCTTGACTTGGACTCGGTCTCGTCTCGGTCTTGAAGGTGCTTGGACTCGGTCTCGTCTCGGTCTTGAAGGTGCTTGGACTCGGTCTCGTCTCGGTCTTGAAGGTGCTTGGACTCGGTCTTGTCTCGGTCTTGAAGGTGCTTGGACTCGGTCTTGTCTCGGTCTTGAAGGTGCTTGGACTCGGTCTCGTCTCGGTCTTGAAGGTGCTTGGACTCGGTCTCGTCTCGGTCTTGAAGGTGCTTGGACTCGTCTCGTCTCGGTCTTGAAGGTGCTTGGACTCGGTCTTGTCTCGGTCTTGAAGGTGCTTGGACTCGGTCTCGTCTCGGTCTTGAAGGTGCTTGGACTCGGTCTCGTCTCGGTCTTGAAGGTGCTTGGACTCGGTCTTGTCTCGGTCTGACACTCGACTTTTGATAAAATAAAGACAGATTTATAAAAACATTGAGATATTTGCGCCAAAACTGTAAAATCCAAATAAATGTCAAAAACGACAAAGATGGTCTCGACTTGGTCTTGATTTGGTCTTGACGGGTCTTGGTCTTGGTCTTGTCTAATCCTGGTTAGAGCAAAGTTCAGAGGTCAGAGGTCAGGGGTCAGGGGTCAGACAGATTTATGCAGAGCTCATGGAGAAGAACACTGACCCTCTGACCCTTTTATTTGGATTAGTGACTTGTGAAGCTGCTGATACGATACAAACGTCGACACACTGAAGTTTTGATTTGATAAAACAACATGTCATGTCATTCAGCTCCAGTCAAATGAAGCTCACTGAGGCCATCAAGTATAATCTCTATTCATGTTGACGTCACAAATCAAGATGACGTTTGGAAACATGTGACGACAACTTCCTCTGGGTTCTGTTTGTGGTCGTAAATATTGTCATAGTACGAAAAAAAAAAACTGTCTTGAAGCCGGTCGAGAAACAAAGAACGGCCTCGAGACCAATTTTTTTGCGGTCTTGGTTTCATCTCAGACTCAACCGCGTTTGGACTCGGTCCTGTCTCGGAGCTGAAGGCGTTTGGACTTGGTCTCGTCTTGTTCTCGACAGCGTTTGGACTCGTCTCAAGTATTAATCTGTAGAATGTAGAATGACGTCACCTGAAACTGAAGCTGTAGGATTTGGTGATGGGATTTGGATTCAGGATTGTTGTGGGGCTGATTTCGTGATTATTCTGATGTGGTTTCAGGGTCCGGACTCACCCGAAAGGATCTCCCACCACCAGGAAGCCCACGTCCGTCGTGTCTGCGTCCTTCAGGATCTCCTCCGACCCCTGCTCCACCAGGTCCCGGTCGGCCAGGATCAGATCTTTACCGTAAAACTCCTCCTGAACCAGAAAACACACAAATAAAACCGAGTCGTGTAAGAGCAGAGGTCCCCAAAGCCCGGACCAGGGACCAGAACCGGGTCTAAACCAGGTCTGAACCAGGTCTGAACCAGGTCTAAACCAGGTCTGAACCAGGTCTGAACCAGGTCTAAACCAGGGCTAAACCAGGTCTGAACCAGGGCTAAACCAGGTCTAAATCAGATCCAAATCAGGTCTAAACCAGGACTAAATCAGGTCCAAACCAGGTCTAAAATAGGACTAAATTAGGACTAAACCCGGACTAAACCAGGATTAAACCAGGACTAAACCAGGACAAAACCAGGGCTAAACCAGGTCTAAACCAGGTCTGAAACCAGGTCTAAACCAGGTCTAAATCAGATCCAAATCAGGTCTAAACCAGGACTAAATCAGGTCCAAACCAGGTCTAAATTAGGACTAAACCCGGACTAAACCAGGATTTATCCAGGATTCAACTAGGTCTAAACCAGGACTTAACCAGGACTAAACCAGGACTAAACCAGGTCTAAACCAGGTCTAAACTAGGTCTAAACCAGGTCCAAACCAGGTCCAAACCAGGTCTAAACCAGGACTAAATCAGGACTAAGCCAGGATTAAAACAGGACTAAAACAGGATTTATAAAGGACTAAACCAGGATTCAACTAGGTCTAAACCAGGTCTAAACCAGGTCTAAACCAGGACTAAACCAGGACTAAACCAGGTCTAAACCAGGTCTAAACCAGGTCTAAACCAGGACTAAACCAGGACTAATCTACAGAACGCTCCATCAGCTCTTTACTATAAAACTCCCCCTGAACAAAAACACAAATAAAAGTCGATGCTCGTCTCTTTACTCCTGAAAGCTCAAACTGCGCTTCCGTCCGTCTGAGCCCCGTTTACCAAAAGTGGAATCAGAAAATGTTTATTGATCAGCGTTAAAAGTCCGTGGGTGATTTGTTCTTTTTCAAAAAATTAACTGGGAAAACTGTTTGTTATTTCATTATTCTGGTTCAGTGGCATTTTAGTCTTATTTTAGTCCTAGTTGAGTCCTGGTTTAGTCCCGGTTTAGTCCTGTTAGTCCTGGTTTAGTCCTGGTTTAGTCCCAGTTCAGTCCTGGTTTAGTCCTGGTTTAGTCCCAGTTTAGTCCTGTTGGTTTAGTCCTGGTTTAGTCCCGGTTTAGTCCTGGATTTAGTCCTGGTTTTAGTCCTGGTTTTAGTCCCGGTTTTAGTCCCAGTTTAGTCCTGGTTTAGTCCCGGTTAGTCCTGGTTTAGTCCTGGTTTTAGTCCTGGTTTAGCTTTTAGTCCTGGTTTAGTCCCGGTTCAGTCCTGATTTAGTCCCGGTTCAGTCCTGGTTTAAGTTCTGGTTTAGTCCCGGTTTAGTCCCAGTTTTAGTCCTGGTTTTGGTTTAGTCCTGGTTTTAGTCCTGGTTTTTTAGTCCTGGTTTTAGTCCGGTTTTAGTCCAGTTTAGTCCTGTTTTAGTCTTGTTTTAGTCCCGGTTCAGTTCTGTTTTAGTCTTGTTTTAGTCCCGGTTTAGTCCCGGGTCTCACCAGTTTGTCTTTGCCCACGGTCAGGATGGAGGTGTAGGCCTCCAGATAAACCCGGGAGCAGCGCTTCACCGCGGCCAGACCCTTCACCGTGATGTCCTGGGCGTCCCCGAGCCCCAGACCGATCAGGTACAGCACCATGGCCGGGAGAGGAGCGAGGAGAGGGAGAGGAGCGAGGAGAGCCGGGGGAGAGGAGCGAGGAGAGCGAGAGGAGAGAGACCGGGGGAGAGGAGCGAGGAGAGCCGGGGAGAGGAGCGAGGAGAGCCGGGGGAGAGGAGCGAGGAGAGCCGGGGGAGAGGAGCGAGGAGAGCGGGGAGAGGAGCGAGGAGAGCCGGGGAGAGAGGGGAGAGGAGAGCGGGGGAGAGGAGCGAGGAGAGCCGGGGGAGAGGAGAGGAGAGCGGGGGAGAGGAGCGAGGAGAGCCGGGGGAGAGGAGCGAGGAGAGCCGGGGGAGAGGAGCGAGGAGAGCCGGGGGAGAGGAGCGAGGAGAGCCGGGGGAGAGGAGCGAGGAAACCCGGGTAGAAGCGAAACAACCGGGGAGAGCCGGGGGAGAGGAGCGAGGACAAGAGCGGGGGAGCACGGAGACTCACGGAGACTCACGATAAATGTGAAATAAAACCTAAAGTTAAACAACAATAATTAAAAATAAAATCAGATTTCTTTGAGTTTGTTGAGTTGAAGTTGTTTTCACGTGTAGCTCTCAGTGCACAACGGAATACGGCTGTCGTGAAGTGTTTATATTTGCGACAGAAAGGACCGAGATACGGCAGGTAGATGGAAACACGTAAAAAAAATAAATAATAATAATAAAACAAAAATAATAATAATAATAATAAAAATAAAATAATAATAATAATAATAATAAAAGCTTTTAAGGCATACAGTTTAGGTAAATGTAAATTAAACATGTATTTGTCTTACGCATTTCGGGTTTGGTAATAAAGTTATAACAAAAACTTAATTGAATTTGTTAATTGGAATGAATTAGGTTCAAAATTTGTGGATTTTCTTTTGTAAATTTAACATGAAAATAATATAATCATTCACAATAACTGATTTATAATTGTAATTAAACACGAAATCCACTTTTTCACTGTACTGTGTGAGATGGGATAATATTACTACTACTACTACTACTACTACTACTACTACTACTACTACTACTATTATTACTACTATTACTACTACTATTACTACTACTATTACTACTACTATTACTACTAATAATAATAACAATACATCTTTATTTATAAAGCACTTTCAAAAACAAGGTTTACAAAGTGCTGTACAAGCAGCAAAGAACAATACTACAATGATGCAAACAATCCAGTAAATATCGTTCGGGTTTTGTTGTTCTGGTTTTGTCGGGTTTTGTTCTTCAGGTTTTGTCGTTCGGGTTTTGTGTTTCGGGTTTTGTTGTTCTGGTTTTGTCATTCAGGTTTTGTTGATCAGGTTTTGTCGGGTTTTGTTCTTCAGGTTTTGTCGTTCGGGTTTTGTGTTTCGGGTTTTGTTGTTCGGGTTTTGTTGTTCGGGTTTTGTCGTTCGGGTTTTGTCGTTCGGGTTTTGTCGTTCGGTTTTTGTCGTTCGGGGTTCGTTCGGGTTTTGTCGGGTTTTTCAGGTTTTGGTTTTGTGTTGGGTTTTGTTCGTTCGGGTTTTCGTTTTTCGTTGGTTTTGTCGTTCGGGTTTTTGTTTTGTCTTCAGGTTTTGTCGTTCGGGTTTTGTCGTTCGGGTTTTGTTGTTCGGGTTTTGTCGTTCGGGTTTTGTCGTTCGGGTTTTTTTGTTCGGGTTTTTGTCGTTTCGGGTTTTGTCGGTTTTTCGGGTTTTGTCGTTCGGGGTTTTGTCGGGTTTTGTCATTCAGGTTTTGTCGTTCGGGTTTTGGTTTTTTGTCGTTCGGGTTTTGTCGTTCGGGTTTTTGTCGTTCGGGTTTTGTCGTTTTGTTCAGGTTTTTTGTCGTTCGGGTTTTGTCGTTCGGGTTTGTTCGTTCGTTCGGGTTTTGTTCTTCAGGTTTTTCGGGGTTTTCTTCAGGTTTTGTCGTTCGGGTTTTGTCGTTCGGGTTTTTGTGTCGGGTTTTTTCGGGTTTTGTTCTTCAGGTTTTGTCGTTCGGGTTTTGTCGGGTTTTGTTCTTCAGGTTTTGTCGTTCGGGTTTTGTCGGGTTTTGTCGTTCGGGTTTTGTCGTTCGGGTTTTGTCGTTCGGGTTTTGTCGGGTTTTGTTCTTCAGGTTTTTGTCGTTCGGGTTTTGTCGGGTTTTGTCCGGTTTTGTCGTTCGGGTTTTGACGTTCAGGTTTTGTCGGGTTTTGTCGTTCGGGTTTTGTCGTTGGGTTTTGTCGTTGGGTTTTGTCGTTGGGTTTTGTCGTTCGGGTTTTTTCGTTCGGGTTTTGTCGTTCAGGTTTTTTCGTTCGGGTTTTGTTCTTCAGGTTTTGTCGTTCGGGTTTGTTCTTCAGGTTTTGTCGTTCGGGTTTTGTTCTTCAGGTTTTGTCGTTTGGGTTTTGTGTTTCGGGTTTTGTCGTTCGGTTTTGTCAGGTTTTGTCGTTCGGGTTTTGTCGTTCAGGTTTTGTCGTTCAGGTTTTGTCGTCGGGTTTTGTCGTTGGGTTTTGTCGTTGGGTTTTGTCGTTGGGTTTTGTCGTTGGGTTTTGTCGTTCAGATTTTGTCGTTGGGTTTTGTCGTTCGGGTTTTGTCGGGTTTTGTTCTTCAGGTTTTGTCGGGTTTTGTCGTTCGGGTTTTGTCGGGTTTTGTCCTTCAGGTTTTGTCGTTCGGGTTTTGTCGGGTTTTGTCCGGTTTTGTCGTTCGGGTTTTGACGTTCAGGTTTTGTCGGGTTTTGTCGTTCGGGTTTTGTCGTTGGGTTTTGTCGTTGGGTTTTGTCGTTCGGGTTTTGTCGTTCGGGTTTTGTCGTTCAGGTTTTTTCGTTCGGGTTTTGTTCTTCAGGTTTTGTCGTTCGGGTTTTGTTCTTCAGGTTTTGTCGTTCGGGTTTTGTTCTTCAGGTTTTGTCGTTTGGTTTTGTGTTTCGGGTTTGTCGTTCGGGTTTTGTCAGGTTTTGTCGTTCGGGTTTTGTCGTTCAGGTTTTGTCGTTCAGGTTTTGTCGTCGGGTTTTGTCGTTCGGGTTTTGTCGTTGGGTTTTGTCGTTGGGTTTTTGTCGTTGGGTTTTGTCGTTCAGATTTTTTGTCGTTGGGTTTTGTTCGTTCGGGTTTTGTCGGGTTTTGTTCTTCAGGTTTTGTCGGGTTTTGTCGTTCGGGTTTTGTCGGGTTTTGTTCTTCAGGTTTTGTCGTTCGGGTTTTGTCGGGTTTTGTCCGGTTTTGTCGTTCGGGTTTTGACGTTCAGGTTTTGTCGGGTTTTGTCGTTCGGGTTTTGTCGTTGGGTTTTGTCGTTGGGTTTTGTCGTTCGGGTTTTGTCGTTCGGGTTTTGTCGTTCAGGTTTTTTCGTTCGGTTTTGTTTTGTTTTCGTTCGGGTTTTGTTCTTCAGGTTTTGTCGTTCGGGTTTTGTTCTTCAGGTTTTTGTTCGTTCGGGTTTTGTCGTTCGGGTTTTGTCGTTCAGGTTTTTTCGTTCGGGTTTTGTTCTTCAGGTTTTGTCGTTCGGGTTTTGTTCTTCAGGTTTTGTCGTTCGGGTTTTGTTCTTCAGGTTTTGTCGTTTGGGTTTTGTGTTTCGGGTTTTGTCGTTCGGGTTTTGTCAGGTTTTGTCGTTCGGGTTTTGTCGTTCAGGTTTTGTCGTTCAGGTTTTGTCGTCGGGTTTTGTCGTTGGGTTTTGTCGTTGGGTTTTGTCGTTGGGTTTTGTCGTTGGGTTTTGTTTCGTTCAGATTTTGTCGTTGGGTTTTGTCGTTCGGGTTTTGTCGGGTTTTTTTGTTCTTCAGGTTTTGTCGGGTTTTGTCGTTCGGGTTTTGTCGGGTTTTGTTCTTCAGGTTTTGTCGTTCGGGTTTTGTCGGGTTTTGTCCGGTTTTGTCGTTCGGGTTTTGACGTTCAGGTTTTGTCGGGTTTTGTCGTTCGGGTTTTGTCGTTGGGTTTTGTCGTTGGGTTTTGTCGTTCGGGTTTTGTCGTTCGGGTTTTGGTCGTTCAGGTTTTTTCGTTCGGGTTTTGTTCTTCAGGTTTTGTCGTTCGGGTTTTGTTCTTCAGGTTTTGTCGTTCGGGTTTTGTTCTTCAGGTTTTGTCGTTTGGGTTTTGTGTTTCGGGTTTTGTCGTTCGGGTTTTGTCAGGGTTTTGTCGTTCGGGTTTTGTCGTTCAGGTTTTGTCGTTCAGGTTTTGTCGTCGGGTTTTGTCGTTGGGTTTTGTCGTTGGGTTTTGTCGTTGGGTTTGTCGTTGGGTTTTTGTCGTTCAGGTTTTGTCGTTGGGTTTTGTCGTTCGGTTTTGTCGGGTTTTGTTCGTTCAGGTTTTGTCGGGTTTTGTCGTTCGGGTTTTGTCGGGTTTTGTTCTTCAGGTTTTGTCGTTCGGGTTTTGTCGGGTTTTGTCCGGTTTTGTCGTTCGGGTTTTGACGTTCAGGTTTTGTCGGGTTTTGTGTTCGGGTTTTTCGTTTGGGTTTTGTCGTTGGGTTTTGTCGTTCGGTTTTGTTTTGTCGTTCGGGTTTTGTCGTTCAGGTTTTTCGTTCGGGTTTTGTTCTTCAGGTTTGTCGTTCGGGTTTTGTTCTTCAGGTTTTGTCATTCGGGTTTTGTTCTTCAGGTTGTTTTGTCGGGTTTTGTTCAGGTTTTTGTCAGGTTTTGTCGTTGGGTTTTGTCGTTGGGTTTTGTCGTTGGGTTTTGTCGTTCGGGTTTTGTCGTTTCAGTTTTGTCGTTTCGGGTTTTGTTGTTCGGGTTTTGACGTTCAGGTTTTGTCGGGTTTTGTCGTTCGGGTTTTGTCGTTCAGGTTTTGTTTTCGTTCAGGTTTTGTCGTTTTGTCGTTCGGGTTTTGTTTCTTCAGGTTTTGTCGTTCGTTCGGGTTTTGTTCTTCAGGTTTTGTCGTTTGGGTTTTGTCGTTCAGGTTTTGTCGTTCGGGTTTTGTCGTGGGTTTGGGTTTTGTCGTTTTCGGGTTTTGTCGTTCGGTTTTGTCGTTTTGTCGGGTTTTGTCGGGTTTTGTCGTTGGGTTTTGTCGGTTTTTCAGTTTTGTCGTTGGGTTTTGTCATTCAGGTTTTGTTCTTCAGGTTTTGTCGTTTTGTCGGGTTTGTTCGGGTTTTTGTCGTCTTCGGGTTTTGTCGTTCGGGGTTTTGTCGGGTTTTTTCGTTCGGGTTTTGTCGTTGGGTTTTCA